CTAAGTAGTCTTTCATGAAAAATGTGAATTAACCTGTGTCCAAATATAAAGTGAATCTTTTACTCCTTCCAAAATTATCCCTTGTAAAAGAGTCACCTTCTACCTAAGAAAAATCTTTGAGATTAAGTCAGTCTTCCAATTAATGGATTTAGAACAATAAAGCATTGTTTGGAGAAGACATATGATCTTAAAATCTCTATTATGCCAATTCAGAATCTCATAAAGTTCCGCTGACAATCAGTTTAAAAATAAAAAGGAGACAGAGGACTTTAACATAGATTTATTAGTTACGCAGATTATTTGTGTGTACAACCTCAAAATTTTAACTATCAAAAGTCATTGTATGAGTCATTAAAATCTAAGTATTTGTCTTTTTGACTGGGTTCTTATAGTTTGGAACAGAATTTCTAGGGATTAGCATCAGACATGTTGAGAAACTGGAATATCATCCAACTGTGATGGAATAAAACCACTTACGTAAATAAATCCAAGAGTGAACAGAGTGACGGAGACAGTGACGCAGCTGTGTGAAAAATGTGAACGAGTAGAATATCCTCAGTTACTACTACATATGCCTCAGTTCACTGGACTGCTTCCACCACCCAACTAAAATTTACTAAATGTAACCTATTAAAATTGGCCAATTTTTATTTTTTTTAATTTTTTGTTGGAAAGAGAAGGAACAACTGTAAAACAACATAGTGGATGGCTTTCGTGCTTATGTTGGCCGCTCACAGAATCTCAGTGTCAGAAGGAAACTCCGCTTTTGGCCATCCTTTACTACTGTATGCTCAGCAGTACCCAGGAGACAGGTAAAAAACATTTGTTGAAAGAATAAACTGCAAGAAAACAATTGCCACGTTTTTTACTAGTTGTTGACAATCCCTTTTCAGTTTATAGGGAGATGGACTTGGAGGAAAGCAGAGGGGCTGAGGACTGTTGTCCGGAAGGCTTGCGGGAAAACCAAATCATCTATATTCAGTATCCATTAATATTCTAAATCTGTGTCCAAATAACATTGATATCCATCTAAACTATTTACACATGCCAATAATCCCACTGGATACTTATATCCTCTTATGTGTATTCATTTTCACTGAAAGCACAAAACCCAAAGGATTTTTGGAGAAGTTTGTGAACCTAAATGTTTGCAATTATATTTAATTTCAATGTTAAAGAAACGTCAACTTCTTTTCATGTCTATCCAAAATGTGAGAGCTTGAATTGCAAAAGGGAGCCAAGCAAATTTAAACATATTAGTATTTCATATTCTTAAAATCTTGGCTTTTCTCTGTGGTAAACAAGGATATAAATTCTAAGAGGAGTAAGAAGAGAAATAAATTGGATACATGCATGTTATAATTTCTGAGCTGTTTTCATGTGCCAGTCATTTTCTAAACATGCCTCATGTGTAACTCAATCTCATAATCCAGTGAGATGGGTTCCATTAACCTGGAATCAGCACAGAGCAGGGAGGGTGGGCATCTTCCCAGCTTTGCACAGCAGGTGACGGAGCCCGGACTGGAACCCAGGCACTGACACCAGGGCCTCCACACTCACAACGTAGTCCAGCCTCTTGGCAAGGACCCAGGAGCCTGTCATCACCCATGAAATTCACACAGTGGACGCATTTGGTCACTCTTATCAGAGAAGGTCCATTCTAACCAGCTAGTCTGTATTACTACCGTGCTGGGTGGGGCCAATTTTTTGGCTGTTATTCCCATGCCAGAACAATTCTCATTAAAAAATTGTTCATGGTCGGGATCCCTGAGTGGCTCAGTCAGTTAAGCATCTGTCTTCAGCTCAGGTCATGATCCTGGAGTCCTGGGATGGAGCCCTGCATCGGGTCATGATCCTGGGGTCCTGGGATGGAGTCCTGCATTGGGCTCCCTGCTTAGCGGGGAGCCTGCTTCTCCCTCTGACCCTCCCCCTGCTCATGCTCTCACTCGCTCACTCTCTTCTTAAATGAATAATAAAAATCTTTTAAAAAAAGTGTTCATGGTGTAGCATATAAAAAATAATTTAAAAAATATTTGTACAAACTTTTTTTCATAATATACTCTCCCCATTTGATACTATTTTTTTTTTTTTAAGATTTTGTTTATCTGCCAGAGGGAGAGATAGTGAGAGCAGAACACATGCTGGGGGAATGGGAGAGGGAGAAGCAGGCTTCCTGCCGAGCAGGGAGCCCGATGCGGGGCTCGATCCCAGGACCCTGGGACCATGACCTGAGCCGAAGGCAGACGCTTAATGACTGAGCCACCCAGGCGCCCCCCATTTGATGCTATTTTATAAAAGAATGTCTTGAGGCTTTGGATTCCCATTTTACTGACAATGAAAAGGACGGGAGGTTGTGTTGCGTCCAAGATCACAATGTAGCCTTTGATCACAGACTCAAGTCCAGTTATTTCAACTCTAAACCCTGCAATTTATTAAAGATAATCAGGTTTTACAAATACAAAATATATATAACCTATGACTCTCAGATTCTTCTATAAGGAGATTAGATAACAATCTGATCTTTCTCAAGTCTGTTTAAACTCATGTTTCTATAATGACAAATAACTCACAATTTAATAAAAGGAAAAATAATTCGTGGAGGATCAGTCTTAGCTGTCTTCTTTGCTTGCACAAGGAACTATTAGTGTTGAAAACAAAATATAAATAGTAAAAATAAACTAAATGTTTTCAATTAATTTATTTTAGAAAATCAAAGGTTTACAATTGGTGCCTTAAGGCAAGATTTCATGAATTCAACAAGTTAGTAATACAGCCTTTCAAAAACCTTTATAGATTTAGTCCAAAGTAGAAAATTATTTTTTGCCCACTCTTGGACTCAGACACATTCAGAAAAAATATATATTTATAAAAATAAAATGGCAAACCTAATCCCACCAATTAAATGATAGTCTTAATATCCCACACTGGTTTATTTGAACAATGTCTGCATAATAAGAATAGCTAAGTAGTTTTCCCTGTCCTACCTCTGTATCACATGAAGCAATATGAAAATATGTAAATTGCTTTTTAGCAAACCCAAACCAGAAAAGCCCCTGAAGCAAAACACAAGAAACATCAACAAAAATCCACTAAACAAAAATGATATAGATGTTTAACTACTCACGTAGGTTCCTTCAACCTCTAGACATTTGGCTCTTAATGCTATTTCTAAGTCAGATACTGGGAAAGCACTAGGGGTGAGAAAGAAAATAAAAATTCAGGTCTAATACACTTCAAACAAGTTTCAGATAAAGTAGCTAGAGAAATATTAATGTGTATGATGAAGAAAACAAAAAGGATTGCAAACTATAATGGGGTGCATAGCTTGAAAAAAAATATGTACTTTCTTTCTCCAAAATATAATTAAATATTGTCTGAGCATTAGACTTATCAACAGCAAGCCATCTGGAATCCTGAATTTTAGGATTTAGAAATAGAATTTTATTGCAACTGAAAGAAAAGGCAAAACTCCAACTTACTGGAGGATATTCTCATTAATATGTAATGATAAGATGATTCACCAGTGAATTAGGATATCTATATTCTACTACTAGATTAAGAAATTTACTTTATTTGGGTGTACTTTTTCCTGAAATGAAAATAGCATTCCTAGTTATGTGTTGATACCATATTAAAGGGAAAAGCATACTAGTGAACAAAAATTTTTAATTTGTTTTGTGAGAAGTCTGATAATATCCTAAAGTAGAAATAAATAAAAAACAAAATTCTAATACAAAAAGAAAGAAAATTATTCACTTATAAACCATCTACACATTTTGTTTTCCTGACAGACACTCTGGAAACACAAATAGGCTATGGGGCAAAGTAGAGAGCTGTGAAAAAGGTAACAAAGAACTAAGGCATTAATTTATTAACAAGCAAATCTCAGAATACAAAGATGGCTGGACTTTTGTTTGTTGATAATACATATTGAGTTTTTACTTTTTTTTCTTTCTCTACTGAATTCTTTCATTTATAAGTGATGCCTGACAAAGGCCAAAAATGTGCAGATGAAGGACATATGATAATGATAAACATGAAGAAAACCATGACATTTTCTGTAATTTCCTACTGTCCCTGATGGAGACTAAGCTCTACCTTCCATACTAGATTAGACTCGAGTGAGGCATTGTACTCACGCTTTTTTTCACTGCTGCAAAACAAGCTTGACCACTGGGAACATTAGTATTTATCCTCCAAAAGAACCCCTCATTACTCTTTGGAGAGGAATCTACTTGTTAAATTAATAGCATTTAATTACGATAAGCTAAAAGAGCACATGGATACAATAAAACAATTGCTAGTAACTTCCTAGTACTTAGATACAAGCTTCAGTTTAGCTGTGATCAGCATGGCACCAGAAGTAACCAACAGCTGCTTTGAGGACCAAAGCCCTAAACAACTTCAGTATCAGGACAATGAGTTGCATATTTTTAAAGTGATTAACAATTTCTCAGTGTTTAACAAAAACCATTCTAATCATCACCCAAACAATGGTCATCTAATAAAAATCCTAAACTTAGCTACAATGAAGGGCTCAAAAATAATCTACAATAAACACACCATAATGCTGCTTAAAACGATGTCAATTTTTATACATTACTCAGGATAGAATTCCTGTGTTGTATCATTATAGAGAGAAGATGAGAGGTCACTGGCTGAAATGGGAGTCAGAACTGAGGATAGAGAAGGTAACTGGCAGATCTCTTAATCACTGGATTATCATAAATTTTGTTGACAGGTTGATTATGTCACTCATTACTCATTATGAACATACACATGCCCATAAAATTACATAACAGACATATGTCAATAAATTTTATATGTATATGTAAATATATTGTGCATGTGTGTATATTATACACACAGATACACCCATATCATAAGTTACCATAACGTTACCATACCATAAACATGAAAAATATGATATATATTACTTTTTAAAAAGCAGTAGGAGCTTTTTCTCAAAGGAAATTTTTAGAAGAAATTCCAATATATAAAACAGAGACCCTCCCCTTCCTACAGTGACCACTGAGACACCTGCTAAGCATGTCCCAGGGCATGGTTTGATATCAGTGTTCCAATCAAATCCATTTATTTTGCAAAGATTAAACATAAGACTATTTTTTTCCCACTCTATAAACCCATATGAAATTTTCAATAATGTAACTGAGTATAAAGTTAAAAAGGAACATTTTCTCTCCTTTAAAAATAATAACTAAAAATAAAATTGCTATGCTATATAAAACCAAATTGTTTTTAAGTCATAATCATAATTTCATCCATGGAAAAAGTTGTTAGTTCTCCTTAAAGTGCCTAAATTTTAAAGACTTAATTTTGCCCATGTAAATCTTACCTAAAATATATGAGCATGAATGAATGGTAGGAGGTGAAGGTTTTGTTTTTCTTTATCAAGCATGTATCTTCTACCTGATTGACCAATTTAAATATTCTGCCCAAGAATCTTGATTGTGTCACAGAATACTCAGGGAAACATGCAAAAGAACTGATCTGCTATAACATCTATAAGGTGAACTCTGATGAAGTGTCTTGATTTTTTTTAGGACAAACATTTCATCTCTTTGCTCCAAACATTTCCCCATTTATGAAGGACTACTTTAATCCATGCAAGTTGATATTAGCAAAATACAAATAACATATTCTTTTTTAAAGATCATGATTAAATGTCTAAATTTAATAAATAAGACTCTTTAATAATTTGAAATCCTATCAAATATTCTGAACCAGCAAAATCTCAATCTTTCTTCTTTTCTAAGACATCTTTGGGTCCTTGCACTGTAGGCACTAGGACATCTCCACTCCTTGGCTCCTGTTCTTTGCTTTCTTCTGTTGGTTCTTGGCTTTCAATTTCACTTTTGGATACTTCGTATCGTTCTTCTATGTAACCTCCATCTGTGTCAGCTGTGTAGATGCCATAGCACATGATACTGATGACCCCCAGTGGAAGGCCAAAGAGAAAGCAGCCCATAAGTGGAGAGCTCTTGAAGATAGACTGTGGGAAGATAATCACAATTCAGTTCTCCTCCTATGCATTCTGGTATAAAATACATGAATGATTTTATTTTATTTATTTTTAAAGATTTTATTTACTTATTCATAAGAGACAGAGAGAGAGAGAGAGAGAGGCAGAGGGAGAAGCAGACTCCCTGCTCACCAGGGAGCTTGATGTGGGACTAGGTCCCAGAACCCTGGGCTCATGACCTGAGCTGAAGGCAGACGCTCAACCATCTGAACCACCCAGGCGCCCTACATGAACGATTTTAAAACCACTGCAAATTTCTTCCTCTTGCTACCATTCAACTTGCTTTTAGTTCCAATGAATCAATGTCAATATTTTTGCAGTAGCTACCATGTTAAAGACACCGCACGTGTGTGTGTGTGTGTGTGTGTGTGTGTGTAACCAGCTCCCAGGAGTAGAAAAAGGCACCAGGTATTTTATAACCTTTTCTGAAGACATTTATTTTCCTCACATTAACCACAAAGATCTCTTTGGAAATGGCAACTACGTGCCCAACAGCTTCCGAGTTGTATCCTGGACTCCAGGAATCCGCTCACTGAGAAGGCTGGTCATTTAACATAAAGAAGGTACACACACATTCCTCTTCACATGACATTTTAAATATTTTTTACTTACTGGTTAGTAGTAAAGCCACATTAACTTAATAATTTCCCTCAGTTTATACACAATCTCCTTAGTTCTCAGAAAAGTAAAAGCAATTTTACTGCATAGGTTTTTCAAATCTACTATCCTCCATGGCTCATGACTGTAACTCGAGAGCTATGTAGGCACATTCACAGACAGCAAGGTCACTTTAGACTGAGATGACGGAAGAAGGCTTCCCAGAATAAAGGTGTTTGAGGCAGAAATTTACGCATGAGTAAGAATGAGGTAGTGTGAGCACTAGCAAGAAGCACCAGGGAAGCTTCCATAATATTCAAAAAATAATGAGACCGTCTGAGATGGAGAGAGTATTCTCACATGTGTCACTGGAAAAGGGAAGGAACGTGATCAAAACGGACTATTTTCGTTTTATTCACTGTGTAGTGGTATACAGAATGGATGGGAGACGGGGTAACAGGAAGTGAAGAAACCACGTGGAAGTTAGAGCAGCAGCTGATACAATGTGGTAAGGGCCGGATTTAAGGATTTCTACTTTAATGACTGCTTTTGGCCTTGGTGAAAACGCCTATGGAGTATGGAGCTCAAGAAGAGAACTAGAACTAAGTTTAAAGCTCAAAGAAATTTAGGAATGCCTCTGCTGTCAAGCTGACCGAGGGGTTGAAGCAGATTCAGATCCAGTGACTAAAAAGGGCAGAAGGAGAAAAGAGACTGGAAAACACTTTTAAGTCATGTCACTGAGGTAACAGATTCTGAATTCCAGTTAACTCACCATCACACAGAAATGAGTAGAGAAACTTAATTTCCACCTGAAAAATATATTTTCTTAATGTAAATACGGACTAGTTCTTATCTTTCAAATTAAAGATGCATTTTTACCTAATCCTTTCAAATTTCAGATTTAACCTTCATTAGACATAAAGCAACTATACATGTACATATTCTCAATTATCAATGACATTAAGCAAACTCAAAACTCACCACAATAGTAGATTTGGCATCAAATGCTATTCTTTTCAATCTCTGCAAAATGCTATCACCTCCTTGGGCCTTAAGTTTAACAGGAAAAAAAAAAAAAAAAACCAAAAATTAAATTGTTACTTAAGTACCATGACTTCACTTTTCTGTTCTATAATATTGTAACTGTAGGTCAAGTGTTGACTCCAGGAGATTACAAAAAGCACCTGAAAGAGCAATGCAGTACATATTTACTGTTTTTCTTCTGTGTCATCTTCCATCTGCTTTCCTGTGTGAAGAATTCAGTCTCCCTGTCATCTCCCCTGCTTGGAAGCAGCCTGGCTGAGGCTGACCCACCAGTCCAGGCCTGCCTAATTTCAGAAGTCAGCTGAGCCTGTTAAACTAAAGTTGCCGCAGGATATCTTTGCTATTGTGTAGGGAGACTCTCCCTAGGAATGAAACCCCTCCACCCCCCCACCAACCTACCCCACCCAAAAGTGCTGAAAGGCAGAGAAAAATCCCTGACGAAAATCTATCAAATCCCTGCATTTGGCCATCCCTGAAGTCTGGCTCATTGCTTGAATTTCCAAACTATGTGAGGCTCTCTTTGTTGTCAAACAGTTTGAATTGGGTTTCACTAACTTACACATAGAAGAGTTCTCACTCATAGAGGTGAGTTTCATTTCAATAAGTATTATTTTCACAAATATGAAATTCCTACTAAGTGACTGTTTCCAAAAAAGAAATGCTTGTTATTCTGTGAGCCAACTTTCAAATAAGGTTTGTAAAAGCTGAAACAAAACTCTCACAAAATAGTAACTTAACTTCATAAAAGCCAAGAAGTCTCATATCAATTTATTCTAGTCTGTTGAAAGAAGATGCATGCTGGCCACAATGTGCTGAGGTAACTTCATGGCCCTGTAATATGGATTGCAACCCACAGTTTGAATTACACTGCAGTGAGATTTATAGAAAAAAATGGGAAGTTAAGACTATTCATTCATTATTTCTTTTAAGTCCAATTAGCCAATATACAGTCATTAGTTTTTTGATGTACTGTTCAACGATTCATCAACTGCACAGAACACCCAGCGCTCATCACATCACGTGCCCTCCTAAATGCCCATCCCCGACCCACCTCCCGTTCTGCAACCCTCAGTTTGATTCCTGGAGTCCAGAGTCCCTCATGTTTGGCTCCCTCTCTGATTTCTTCCCATTCACAGTTTTCCCTCCCTTCCCCTATGGTCCTCTGCGCTATTTCTTATATTCCACATATGAGTGAAACCATATGATAATTGTCTTTCTCTGCTTGATTTATTTCACTGAGCATAAAACCTTCCAGTTCCATCCATGTCAATGTAAATGGTAGGTATTCACCCTTTCTCCATTCATTATTTCTGAGAAATACTTTATATAATTGGATTTGGAACTCTCCACTGAAGCTCAGATTCTCAGTACATTTCCTTCTCTCTTAAGAAATGGTGGTCTTATTCATAGGTTTTCTTAAAAAAGCAATCTGAATAACTTAATCCAATCAGACTCTTTAACCCAGAAAGGTGAAGGGCCAAAAAGGTTCACTACTGGGATAGCTCTGCACACTGCAGACCTCTCAGCACCCACAGCCCAACTCCAAACGGCAACAACACCTCCCACTCACTGTGAAAACCAAAAGTGTCTTCCAAATAACCCGAAAAGAGACATTTTCACCAATGAGCAGCCTCTTCCACAGAAGAACTTTCTATGTCAGTGAGAATGTGGCTCTGTGATGTGAGAGAAGCCAGGTGGGGAGGACTGCCCCTCATCCCAGGTGATGACTCTTCCTTTCAGCATCAGAGGAAAAGAAGAAAGCTTGTTTCTCCTCGACCTCCTCCCACTGTTCCTTTGAAATGGAAGTGAACGACTCACCTCTACTGTGCCATCCAAGATGTTGTTAATGAACTGCACCATGTCCTCGGCATTCTGAATCTGTCTATCTAGTAAAAAGTATTGTTGGTTTGAAGTATTCAGTACAACCACAGTTGGGACTTTCAGTTCACTGAAAACAGAAAAACAAAGATATCAAAATACACATTAAAAGTAACTACAATCACAAAAGGAGGAAGCTGTATTAATAGCTTTGCCTCCCTATGCTTACATGAAGAAAATTTCAAATTGTGCATCAATTTAAGAAATAGCTAAATTAAGATTATATGAAAAACATTTTAGGGCACCTGGGTGGCTCAGACGGTGAAGCATATGATTCTTGATTTCAGCTCAGGTTGTGATCTCAGGGCCAGGAGACTGAGCTCCGTACGGGGCACCTTGCTCGGGGGGAGATTGCTGGAGATTCCCTCTCCCCTCTCCTCCCACCCTCCCTCCCATTTGCTCTCTTTAAAAAAAAAAAAAAAGCAAAAGAAAACACTCTAATATATAATATCAGACAGCTGAGTATTAATGATTAAACTAAAAATTATTATGTATGAAGTACCAATTTCTGGACAATCTTATCCCTTGCCACCCAAATCCCACCAGTTTGGTCACACAAACCCAGTCCAGTGGCACTGAGGACACAAGACCAGAAAGAGCAGGGTCTCCGCTTGAGTTGAAGCCTGGGGCTTTCCCATAATTTGTTTTTTTAAGCCTAACGTTTTTCATGTGTAAATGGATACAAGGTGAGTAGTGGGAGGGTACCTATTTTGTTGTAAAAATTATGTGAGAAAACTCAAGTTACATACTCAGCACAGTACCTCGTGTTCAATAAATACTGTCCCAAATTCTCTGAACTCCCAGTACCCCACTACATATTCCGCTGCATCCTCAGGAAGTGCTTCACTGATTCGCTAGACATCAGTTTGCAGACAAAAAATGTTACTAATAGGTGTCATTTAATCGAAATAATTTTTTTCCTTTCAAGGATAGGTTGTTGCATAATCATAAAAAGAAGGGGGTGCTTAATTCTGTATGTCACCTGCACACAGATTTATGGTTATTGGTGTTTATATGAAAATATTATGCAAAAAGACAAAACTCTACAGTAGAAGCGATTCACACCACTGTGTTATCACCACACAAGTAGAGGAGTCCAGTAGATTGCTTTCCTGCTCATAAACTCTACTCTCCCCACGCAATAACCTTTTCCCAGTTAGGCAAAACACGCTCATGTGACTCGTGATGTTGGGCTCAGCTGTGTGACTTGGCCAAAGGGAAGGTTAACAGACGTGACTCAAGCAGAGGCTTGAAATGTGCATGCATGGCTAGGCTTGCGTTCCTGTGTTTCTGTGATTGCCACACAACTCCCCAGGGAAATATCCTTCCAGGGTCAGGACATGCAAGACCATGCAGACCGAACCTCCGTGGCAGTTTGGAGCCACGTCTATCTGTGCCCAGTCAACGTCAGCCAAGCCCAGGTTAAGTGAGAGAGAATACGTATTACAGCTTGGAGTCATTGGGTATCAGGGTGGTTGATTATCCAGTATTATTATTAGGCAAGAGTCAGCTGACTGTATAATTAAAAAAAAAAATTTTAGCTTCACTCCTGTTCATAAAAAATACAAAAGACAACTTTTTGATTTATAGCAGTTTAGTTATTAGTTATAATAATGCATAAGTAGCAAAAAACCAGAATGGATCAGAACTTGGCCTACCTATAAAAATACGTATTATAAGAAAGTTAAATACACAGCGGGACTAGAAACTATCTGTTGTGAAATAATTCAATTTGAATAATGATGGAAATGGAAAATATCATTTCATACTATTCCCTCTTAATTATATTCACAAAAACCCAAAACAAAACAATTTAACAGATATAGGGTCTGACAGTACGCTATTTATTTTGAGACGATTTAAAAAACAGTCGGTGCTGCTGTAGAACTATCTTACATAGTATCATGTAATCTGCCCCAAGTTAAAAACACTTAGGCATCAATACCTATAAAATTCCACTAATTTCTCTGACAATATTAATGTCATGGAAGAGCTTTGGAGTGAGCAAGATCTGGATTTCAGAACTGGATCTCTTTAACTTACTTGTTGGACATCCTTTGGCATATTATTTAACTTCCTTGAGTTTCTTCTAAGAAATTTCAATTTCCTCATCTATATAAAATGGAAATAATAATAGTACTTACACCTTACTGAGTTATTGTAAAAGTTAAAAAATACCTATTGACCACTCAGTCCAGTGTCGGTCACAGAATTAAGTGCTCAATAAGGACTTTCAATTATTATCACATAACCATCATCATACGCTTTCTCTTCTTTCAAAAAAGAAAAAAAAGAGCAAGATATGAATAAAAAACAAACAGAACAACACAACAAGGTGTTGGCGGTAGAGATTACAGTTGTTCTCAGACCACAACTATAGCTCAAAATTTCTATCTCACAACTCACATTAACAATCATACTCATGAAGGATTATCCATCCATCCATCCATCTGTACATATTCTGAGTATTACCCTGAATCAAGGAATTGTTTATTGGACCCAAATTGCTTTAGCCTCTTACAAACAGTGTTTTACTGAATATTGGCCTGCCTTGAAGGACATTATAAGAAATGGTTCTATCAAAGCCCCTAATATATATACTGTAAAAATCCTACTAAAAACATATTTCTATTACAGAGTGTCCCCCTTTATGAGAGTCTATAGCATAACAATTTCTCTTAGGTTTCTACAAGGTCTGCCATACTCCTTATAACCAACAGTTATTTTACAGGCTACGGGAAATGTGTAAATAATGTTTTTCTACTTTGTTTCCAGTATTAAAAATTCAGGGCCAAAATTTTCAAGTACCTTTAATAATTACCTATAAATGATAAATACCTAAGATAATACAGATCCTTTATTTTATTTTCCTTTGTCTTGATTTCATCGTTGTGTATTATATCGGGTACTTTTTAATCACTGGTAAACTCTCACATTCTTATTGGAATAAGAGGGATAATAAATATAAATGAATAAAGGTAACACTACTTTATAATTTTAGGCTTTCACCTGAAAATTATGAATGTTATTTTGGGTTGTAAGTTTCATTTTTTATTTCCCCAGTGTTCTTACTTGGAAAATGGAATAATACACTGAAACATGAGTGAAGGCAACTGCTACACCTCTGCTACTAGGCCAAGCCAGAGAATCGGAAACACAATGTCATGTTAACTTGAACTGGGACCTCAACGCTGTAGGACAAGGTCCCTTGTCGCTGGTGAGCTCCCCCATCTTCACTTCAGGGGCTATTTCTAAGCTCCACACTCTCCAAAGCCACATCTTCCTACCACCTCTTGTGTGTGCATAATGCCCTGTCTGAAATAAGGCCTCCGCATTCTTCTTCCAGGTAACTTCTCGGCATTACTGCCTCCTCTGGTAAGCATATTCTGATCCCTTCCAGCTTTGTGTGCACTGGGGTGTAGGTGGGAGCGGTCATGTTTCCAGAACTCTCTACTATAAAGACCTTTTCATACAGTTTTGCAATGACTATGTTGTCTTACCCAGCAGACTCCAAGCATTTGAAGACAGGGACTCTACTTATTTTCTGTATCAGCAGTACCAAACACAGTGTGTGGCATACAGGAAATACTAAATGTTTGCTGCATAGAGTAGGTTCTTACTTGAAATTAATTTACTATAAGTATGATAAATGTTTTCTAATAATAACCTTTTGAAGTGGCAAATCAGATTTTTATGTCATAAACATAACTGATAGAATTATTTTAAAATTGTGTATTTTCCCTATAAAGTTATTTTTACTCTGTTAAATTCTTCTAGTATAGCAGCTAATTCTTAGATGTAAAAATTTCCTACTTAAATTCATTTACTCATTGAAACTGAACTTTAGGTAAGGTGTGTGTTAAACAGAAACTACAAAATTTTTAAATTTTGAATGCTGTCTTTCCAAAATACATGGAATTCAGAGATAAATTTTTAACATGGAATTGTTTTTTTTAATATGGAGCAATATTAAAGTTCAGTGAGTTTCAAATTTAGATTTAAAAACTAAAGTAAGATATTTGATGGGAGAATATCTGCATCAGCATAGATGAAAAGTTCACTTTTTTCCCCAGCTAGTAATGCCTTTAAAAGTGTCTCAGAAACAGAAATTTAAAAACTGACAGAATTGACAGGAAAATCATTTAATCATTTAGAACTTTACTTACTCCATCAGCAAGGTATTTATATAGTCATTTCCATCCATATGGCCAAACTGAAAATCCCTACCCAACAACAATAACCAAAAGAAAAAAAGAGAGAGAGCAATATTAGGTATGAAACAAGGTAAATATGTACCAAGAACTGAACTGTATAAACATTTAACATACAAATCACATAAAATAAAGGTAGAAAAAAGTATGAATTCTACTGGCTTCTGAAATAAAATACACATGAGTAGAATTTAATAAATTCTAAGATATTTCTGCTCTCTATTTAAAATGCAGGGCATATAAGAATTTCTAATTAAAATACGCTTAGGAAAAATGACCCACTTTGTTTACAAAAGGACTAATAACATGCTCATACTATGTAACAGGAAAAATATAAATATATATCACTGATAAATCATTAGAAGACTCAGAATAAAAAAGGAATAATTAAATAACACATTTATAGACTGTCTCTCATGGCACCAACAAACAGAATGATTTGGCACAAAGCAACAAGAACACTTATTTTTTATACTGTTATTCTCTGAGTTCCTGTTATAATCATCATCTGTCTATATCCAAGTTGTGATTGCTCATTTAACTTTATCTCAAATGTATCAGTACTTGTCCATATTTCCTTACAACAAATATATACCAAATACCATCAAGAAGCAAGTATGATACCAGTTATAAAAGTTTTTTTTTACTTGTATTAGCAAGTCCAAACAATTCATACTGAAATGCAACATACTATAATTCATTTCAGTATCCTGATTCACCTTTGAAAGAATAAAATAGTACCACTTTTGCTTTACTAAATTACAAAATATAATTAAACAAAGATAAAGGAAGGTTCCTGAATGCAACCACCTACCTGTGGAACTGGTCTCTGTAATCTCTAGCAACTTCCTGAATAATTGACTTTAATCTGTGAAAGAATACATAAATATTTCATCTCTTCACTTCAAAAATATATTATCATTTTTCAATGATAATATCTGCTGCCTTATCTAATACTGTGGGAAAAATAAGATACTATATCAAGTTTATCTGAAGCCATGTAAAGTCTGAATTAGATGGTATGTGAAGCTTAAAACTATTTCAAGACACTATACCTGGTATGTTCAATTGATGTATTTTTCTCATCAATAACTGCAATAGCCACAAGCTTTCCTGAAATTAAGAATGACATATCTAAATTCAATAGCCCTCATTATACAAACTTTTCAATTATTATAGTAGCTGTGAATTGGGAATTAGTAAATAAGTTTCTAGAATTTAATTCCAGCTATGCTACATGTTATGCACAGCAGAATGAATCAATGAATTAGTCAACTGGAAGTGAGAGATTCCCTCCTACCTCCCATCCCCCAAATGTAAATAACAGTAAATATTTAACAATTTATATACTCAAACTGTACTGTTTTCACAGTACCCACAAACTGACTAAAATGATATTTTGTCAAAATCTGACATTAAGAAATAAAATAAATTTATTATTTAATTGATAAAAAATTTATTATTAATTACTGTCGCTCTAAAAGAATAACATACAAGAGAAGGATTTTTACATGCCATTCCCTTCAGTACCATGGGTCACATCACTACTTGCCAGTAATAATACACAAAACAAAACTGACTCAAATTTATTTAACCCTAAACACAATGTAAATCACATTCGTCTCTAACATCCTCTAGCAGAGAGCATGACAAAACAACCAGAGAACTGGTACTGGAGTCAGAAGACCAGATGCTGCAGTTCAGCGTGTGTATTCTGTTCTAGGCCAGGGAAACACCTGTGAAGCACCACCACTTATTAGCTGTGGGACGACCTGGAGAGTGATGAACACACACAGACACAGCCCTGGACTAGTGGAAAGCACAGTCTAGCAGGGAAAACAATAGAAACATATAAAGATCGTTTACAACAAAGAAAAAATGTATGGTTAACAACGAGAAGAGCTCTGAAGGAAAGGGAAGAGGGATAAAAGAGTACTATAGAGAAAGCTTAAGTAGTTTGAGAGGATCAGTAAAAGATTTTCTTAGGAAGCAATATTTGGTCTGAGTCTGATGGATGAACATAAATTCACTATACACTTCCAGCTATAAAGGGTGCATTGATGCAAGGTGCAGAGCCTTTCTAAGAAACTGAGAAGTCAGTGTGGCTGGAGAAGGGAGAGTGACGAAAGACCAGAGTCAGAGAAGACAGATACTGAGGCAGGGTCAGAAGATGCAGGGACCCGCCGTCACCAGGATTTCTGAGAAAGACAAGTGGTGTGTGAAGCCAGGAGAGCCAGGATCTCCGTACTTGTGTGGTGAGTCGCCAGGTGGGACAATGGGCAGGAACAGAGCCACAGGCGCAAACCGAACAAGGGCAATTATGTTGGATACAAAAAAGGAACATTCCACAGTCAACTTCTTTCCAAATTAATCTGGGAGAAGAAACTACCTGAGTAGAGCCAGAGCTGCCTATTTTAACTACCTCAAGGTCATGCTGTCTCCTATGATTACTGAACTGAAAGCAAAACTACTATATTCCTACATTGTTCCCTTTTCCCTTCACATGAGTCTGAAAAAATCCAAAAGTAAACCCACAGTCTTTGACAGTATCCACATCAACTTCCAGTACTGAGCTAACACATGCCTCCCTCTGTAAGGATAAACAGACAGAAATGTCACCAGACACAGAACATGAATAAGCAGGCTCTGAGCCAGAACAAATATCCTAAGAGTTTGAAAATAACATGAGAACCTATTAGAACATTTCTAATTCGTATTATTAATCAGATTCAAAAGCAGGAAATCATGAAGAGGAAAATCTATGCACACTACTTCTCATACAAAAAAAAAAAAATTGAAACTTGAGTAGAATTTTCCCGTTTTTTTAAATCTAAAACTATATGTCCATCGCACTTATCATGAAGTTGTGAATGAAAACAAAATATAGCAATAACATCCACGATTCATTTCTCATTTGTAATTCATTATAAATTTACAAAACACTTCCTCCTAAAACTTACATGGTTAGCTTCGTATAATTTTGGTAGTTTACATCTACCCGAGACCCTCCAATCAGCTTCTTATAGCTTTCATTTATGCATCTGTAAATATATTTACTTTGCTTGTCATTTTTAATCTTGTGACTTTAAGAAACCACGCCAGTCTGTTGTCCATATTTTCCTCACAACTAAAAGCAGGCCTCATAGGTGGTGAGTGGTGGTGATGAGTTGTATTCCAACTCCTACTACAAAATCAGCTCGTAATATAGCTTCCTGGTTATTTTTTCTCATTTCCTTATTATCCAGGCTCTGCTTTTCCTGTTGCTATCAGTTCTAACTAGTAAACCTTTTCTAACTCACCTTTGTTCCCCATACAAATGTTTGTTCTTTGTTAATACTGATCTATGTTCTCATGAAGAAGAACTGGCATCCAAGTCTTAAAAAGGAAGGAAATTATGAAAGAGAGCTTAAAATTCATTTCCTACAGAATCACATTTAAGAAATCAACTAAGGAAAATTCTGCAGAGTGATGGAGGTTGTATATACGCTTGTTACCGGTGTCTCCAAGTTCATACAAGAGGAAGCCATCCATAGTAAGGTAGTTCTGAAACCTCTCCCTGTTGATCCAAGATGACAGGTCACCATCCTCATACTCTTAAAAATAAAACAAAGCTAATAAGTTATATGTAAATAAGACTTTAAATGTTTATAATGTTCTAATCTAGCAATACGTATGAAATGCCTTGACCTAGAATCATAATCTTAAATTCATAAATTTCATTTTTAGGAATCTATTCTAAGCAAACAATGAGAATGCAAAAGCATTGGTCCATTGACCATTAATGGACAAAGCAAGCAAAAGATAAATAAATAAAAATAAAGGAAATAAGTGAAATACCCTAAATAGGAAATAATTTAAATAATTATGGTACATATTAAGGAAGACCACTTACAGGTTTTTAAAAAATTAATAAGTGGTAAAGCAGGTTGCAAAACATTATCACAGTATGACTGTAACTTTGTAAAACAGAAAGTATGAAGAAAAACTGACAGAATGATTAAATGAAGACATACACTCCTACTAAATGGTTATCCTGGGTTGATAGTTATCCTTGAATGATGGCAGTATGAGTAACTTTTTATTACATTTTCTTTCCTGCTTTCTATTTTATGACATTTCTACCTCAGTTTACAACCCTTTCTTGTATGTAAAACACAACACACATAGAAAGCCATAGTATTTTAGCCTTTTTCCAACATCAAATAATTCCCCTGTTAAGCAGACAGAAAACATTTGTAATATCAAGAGAAATATTATGTCCCGATTAGAAATACAGTTCTGAAGGAACTGTGAACAATTATTGTAACTGCATGAAAAGAAGCTGATGTAAAAAGCCTACCAAAATGTTTGGCTGAAGACTGGATTTTAATGATTCCTTGAAAGATGTGCTTTGTCTGTCACTTGCATTGCTAAACAAAACATTTTCAAGTTATCAAACCTATAAAATAAGTGACATAATGCAAATCTGAAAGTATTTATGGATTCGGACTTACACATTAGAAAAATAAACATAAAACTAGGAGTTGAGTACTGGGGCCACAATCCTTACTCCAGGTCAAAAGCAAATGTTTTAAGATTATACAAAGTGATACATCTGAAACTCATTAGAAAATAAACCATCCTCCTGAGCCCCTATCCCAAAGCTTCTAAACTTATTGACAACATTTAAATATTAGACTAAGCATTCAAGGTAAACTCTCTGTGTTATCTGAAGGCTTCAGGCAGGTTCTAAATACTAACTACTGCATGTTAGAAAACGATGGCCTCTCCAACAGCTAAAGATACTTATCCTATTCCTCTTGGTCACTCATGGGAGGCTACGTTTGAAACATGGAGAGAAGAGAAGGGGCATTTTCTTAGCCATGATTAAAGAACAGATTTACATCCAAACAGATATGATCAGGCTTGTTCCAAAAATAAACAAAGTGGCTCCCTGAGTGTTAACAAACTCATACTAGAACTAGAACAAGAGATTTGAAGGCTGATACTTGATTATACTATTAACTATTTTAACTTGGGGGAAAAAATCCTCTTTAATCCTATTTCTTCATTTGTAAAACAGTAAGAATACTGATCTCAAAAGCATTGCTGTAATGATCAAATAAGACAATGTAAGTTAAGTGCTTATCATACAAGGAGTGCAATAATCAAAGAGCAAATGAATAGAATTGGTACAGATATGCATTATTTTCCTTCTCATATTTTCATATATGCAAGTTCCTCTTAACTTCCTTTTCAAGCCCAGTATCTAATACAGACAATAAGTATCTAGTGAGCAAATGAATGAGCGTGTGATTTAATTATACATCTGTCTGCTTATCTAATACTCTTAGTTATCTTTTTCATAATCTCAGGATAGTAATTTATCTGCCTTACTATCTAACCTCACAGATTATGACGAGGATAAAATGAAAATATCAAGTGAAGTACATAATTAGTACCTGCGGCATAAAATAGAACAAGTGGTAGTTGTTATACTGTAGCAAAAAGTAAATTCAGTCCTCACATTTATTTAAAAATAATGAAGATAGGAGACTTTAGAAATGCTTCGTATTCATGATTGTTAAAATAATTAAAATATTCTTTGGGTGTTGAGTTTGATTCATAACATAATAAAATTTATAAAAATAAAAAGAAATAAAAACCAGACAAAAAATAATTAAAATGTTCATTTTACTAAAAAAAATCAGAATATTCCTTTTATTAGATATTCTATTCATTTTAATTATTTAAGCAAACCAAAGCTTACACCTCTCAGGAAGTCCTAGTTTCTTTTGTTATAAAATAACAACATTCTAGAATATTTCTGCAATGAATACAATGTTCCATATCTGCATTCTCCAGCATGGTAACAAAAAGCCACACAAGGGCACTGAGTATTTCAAATGTAGCTAGTGGAAATAAACTGAAGCTTCTACTTTATTAAACTGTAATTTAGAAAGTTACAAAGAGGGCGCCTGGGTGGCTCAGTTGGTTAAGCGACTGCCTTCGGCTCAGGTCATGATCCTGGAGTCCCTGGATCAAGTCCCGCATCGGGCTCCCTGCTCGACAGGGAGTCTGCTTCTCCCTTGACCCTCCCCCCTCTCATGTGCTCTCTCTCTTGTTCTCTCTCTCTAATAAATAAATAAAATCTTAAAAAAAAAAAGAAAGTTACAAAGAATGGTATTAGGCATGACTTGCATTCACTTTTGCTTTTGAGTGGCTGCGTGATATCCAGAAGATGCTGAGTTTCACTGTTTCCCTTGGAATTTAAAATTTCTCCTGGAGCCCCTGTGACTTTGCTGCACTGGCCTGAGGTACCTCATTGCACAGTTTGGGAACGGTGGGAGTAGGTATCTGATAACACCAAGGAATTACTGGGAATTTTATTACGTGTTATAACAGCATATAGTTATTCTATTTTAAAAAAAGGACATTTTTGGGCGCCTGGGTGGCTCAGTCGTTAAGCATCTGCCTTCGGCTCAGGTCATGATCCCAGGGTCCTGGGATCGAGTCCCACATCAGGCTCCCTGCTCAGCAGGAGACCTGCTTCTCCCTCTCCCACTCCCCCTGCTTGTGTTCCTGCTCTCGCTATGTCTCTCTGTGTCAAATAAATAAATAAAATCTTTAAAAAAAAAAAAAAAAGGACATTTTTAAAGAGATGCATAATGAAGCACACAGTGATGAAAAACCTCTGGGATTTGCTTTAAAATAGTTCAACGAAGAAAAAAATTGTTGAAGCAAATGTGTTAAGACCTTGGTTAATTGTCTAACCTAGGTGATGGGTGTGTACATAGGATTTTACCATTCTAGCATTGTCTTTATTATGATGTATGTTTGTATAACAAAAGTATTTAAAAAATAGACCAAGTATTTACTTCAATGAAGAAATGCTGAATAACAGGTGAGTGGTTACTTCTATCAGGGAGGGAGAGATGGAGCTAGGGAAGAATACATCTTCCAGGGGCTTTACCACTACTGAAGGGGTTTTATTTCTTCACCTTTTTGTGAGTCTGAAATGTTAGATCTTTTTTTTATACGAATAATTTTGAATGTTTTAAAATAATGTACAGAAATGTATCAAGTTCATGTCTCAAAAGGCCAATGACCTGACCTCCCCCCCAAAAAAATCATTGTAGGTAGAACCCAGAAAGCAGACTAGACAGAAAAACTCAAGTTGAAGGTTAAGAAAAATCTGTCAGTCATTCAACTAATGGGAAATGTAAGAAGTAGCTGCATCTACCAAATCTTTCATCAACACCAAAGTCCTATAATAGCCACAGCATTTTAATTTTAACATGTTTTATATGAGTTAAAACATTGGAACTTACCATCATAAACAAAGTAAGTTTCATCTTTGAAAACAAGCACAGCAGGCATCTCCTTCAGTGTCACATACTGCAAAAATGAGATGTGTAAATAACTTTTATCATTAAAAAAATTTTAATTGGTAGCTATGATTTCAAAAGTATTGAAAGATACCAGAAAAAAACCCACAGCAACAAAACTGTTAGTTAAAGAGATCCCAAGGTCAATCCCAAGGTCATCCAAGGACAGGTTTATCTCTTTAAAAACATCCCCTGGCACAGCAGTGCCCGTGTTTGCTACTGAGCAAACCGTGGATTATTCTTAGAGTTGATAATCGAGACTAAAGACATCCCAGGAAGTACAGGATGAGACACAGTCTGAGGTGGTTAAAGAGCAGTGGCTAAGGTAACTATCAGCACTGGTAGGTTCGAGTCCTTCCCCACCATTCCCGGCTATGTGACATGGGAGTCCATTGCTGTCCGGGGCAGTTGGCTTCCTCCTCTGTAAATCAGGGACACTGAGTCTCCACCTCACTGCAGAGTTAGCAAAGTTAGATCCACTAACATATGTGAGAGTAGGTTTAAAATGTAAATTGGTTTTATAAATGGGAACTTATAATGGCAACTAATAAATTATTTCAGGGGCGCCTGGGTGGCTGAGTCGTTAAGCGTCTGCCTTCAGCTCAGGTCATGATCCCAGGGTCCTGGGGATCGAGCCCCGCATCGGGCTCCCTGCTCCGCAGGAAGCCTGCTTCTTCCTCTCCCACTCCCCCTGCTTGTGTTCCCTCTCTTGCTGTGTCTCTCTGTGTCAAACAAATAAATAAAATCGTAAAAAAAAAAAATTATTTCAGATGGTACCTGCTTCTTATACCTGTGCTATAATTATTTCAAAATACTAAAATTATAATAATCAGTATCCCCCTGGTTAGCCACAAAGAATTATTACATTACTAGATTCCATCCATTCTAGGCCTTTACATCACACTGAAATATCTTAAGACTTTCCAGAATAGAGGTTTCGTAACCTCTATTCTGAGGCATTTATGTGAGAATCTAATGGCACATACGGCTCTTCTTCCACCCTATCATCTCCTCCCCATCAAAAGTAAATGCATACACATAAAATACTGCAAAATAACTCCTGAGACAAAACTAAGTAAACCTAAAAACGAGTTTAAGCTGACCAGATTTGTCTGAGGTTCTCCCAAGGAATTGAAAATCATTTCAGAATGTATTACATTTATAAGATAAACATTTATATACATATTGTAAAAAGCACTAGACACAGACTCTATGTAAGTCTACAATCTTCTCAAAAGTATTTACATGTTAAAAAATATTAACAAAAATTAATCAAATGTGTAATATGACATACCTTTGTGGAAAAAAACTGTTTCTGATTTTTTTGTAACTTACACTGATTAAAAAGAAAAAGCTTCTCTTGACTTATTTCATGTTTCCCGTCAGCTATTGCCCAATTTCTCAGGTCCCCTTCTTAGGAAAACTTTTCTAAAGAGAAGTCTATGCCTGCAACCTACAATTTCTTATCTACATTCTCTCAAATGACACCAATGAGGCACCCGTCCTTCTCGTAAAACCACCACCAACCTCCATGTGTACAAGTGTCAACAGTTACTTTCCTCAACTCATCTTGATCACTTGCACAACAGACCCTCTTTTTAAAATATTTATTTTGGCTTTTCACTCATCTTGTTTTCCTACTCCCTCCCTGGCTATTTTCTTCTTATTTTCCTTTGCAGTCTTTAGGCCCTGGACCCACTTATTTCCTTAAAAACTTGCATCCCAGGGCACCTGGGTGGCTCAGTTGTTGAGCGTCTGCCTTGGGCTCAGGTCATGCATGATCCTGGGACCGAGCCCCACATCGGGCTCCCTGCTCGGCGGGAATCCTGCTTCTCCCTCTCCCATTCCCCCTGCTTGTGTTCCCTCTCTCGCTGTGTCTCTGTCAAATAAATAAATCTTTAAAAAAAAAAACTTGCATCCCATGTCTAAGAAGTTTTTTATACAGCCTTAAAGCCAGACCCCTATATCCACTTGTGAATTTGATGCTTATACTTGATGTCTAATATGTTGAACCAAGTTAAAATGAACAATTCAAAGCTCTTGATCAGTCCCCCATTCCCAAACTCATTTCTTCTGCAATATTCCCACACTCATAGATAACACTACCACCTACCCAGCTGTTAAAACCAAACACCTAAGCGTCATCCTTGATTCTTCCCTTCTCTTCCAGGTCAGTGAGCTCAAACAATTCCATCTCTAAAAAACAACAACGCTTTCGCTTCTCCCTCATCCTTTTACAAACCCCCAAGCTTAAACTCTCCAGGTTACTTCAAGAGTTTAACTGATTTCTCTGGATCTATTCTCATCCCTATCCAATTCATTCTGTTCTCAGCAGAGAAATGTCCTTAAGATGAACATGAGACCAAGGCCCTCACTAACTTTGACCCATCACATGCATGGCCATGACCTGCAAGGCCTCCGCTGCTCTCTGCCTACCTCCTATCCATCTCCTTTCTCACTGTATTATAGCCACACTGGCCTACTACCTATTTCTCAAATATGCCAGCAGTGTTCTTATCTTGGGCATTTGTAATTATCTGTTCCCTGTTTCTAGTTTATTCTGGACACAGATCTTGCATGGCTCCTTCACTTCATGTATGTCCCAGTTCAAATATTTTCTTCTCAGACATTTCTTGATCAACCGACCCAGAGCAGCCATCGCACCCTTATGTCCCTACCATCACAATGCTCTTTTACTTTTTTCATAATAGTTATATCCTGTTTACATATTTGTTTTCCTGAAGATGACTATCTCAGGATGAGGACCCAAAAGATGTCACCTGCAACACTAGAATTCAGGACACTTTCTCTACCCATGAGGATGCAGACTCCACCCTCTCACAACCCTGATGATCTTGCTTGTCATCACCTATCCAGGGCTTAATACAGTGAACGGCAAATGATCAGGTAAAAAGCAGCTGTGAATCAATATATATAAATATGTTAATCACTCCATTACTTATAAACCAATTTAACAGTTTGAGCTATCACTTCTTACTACTGCTATCATTTTGAAGAGAAAAAAAGCATCAACATAATAAACATAGTCCCTAAATGCTACGAATCCAGTGGTATTTGCTTATTAACAATCTAGTACCAGCAGTAAAGAGTTAACATGTTTACTGTTTCTACACATATGAAAGTAAATAAATCTCATAAATAAAATCAAGTAATAATTTAAAAAATGAAATTAAGTCATTAAAATCCATTTTTAAACAGTACCTCAGGAACCACTTCTTCTGAGGCAGAAAAGAAGTATGTATATACAATTAATTCTGAAGCAGCATCTATGTATTTCTCCTGTGAAGATACAAATAGAAAAGAGGTGACTTTTAAATATTAAGATCAGAATTCAAACCTCATTCAACATTCAGAGCAGGTGGTATCACCCCCAGCAGTATCATCCCAGTTTGAAGCCTTCAGTGTTTTTATGTGAAAAGATGATGGAATATAAGCAGCAAATGAAATGAACTGTTTCTAAAGCAAAAAGACCACCATAACCCAATGCTTCCATACTCCTCTAAATAAAGTTAAGCGTAATATAAGCTTGATTCATATTTATTATTTTAATAATTACAGGAGAGATCTGTGCATATATGTACACATATAAACATGCACAAATGCATGCGCGCACACACACACGCATCTTCAAAAAGTTTACATTCAAACTATACTCTGCAGTCTCAAAGATACAAAAATGCTAAAAAAGTAACACAAAATTTGAATAACCAGGGAAAGCAACATCTTTTTATTCATTTCTGTTTCATGAAGGCAAACACAATAGAGGGCCTAGATTGAACTAAAATATTTCCAATAAGAGTGAAATAATTTTGAGTTTGGGGTCAAAGTTTTGGCTATCCTGAAAATTAAATTACATTTGTATTTGTGAATTTAAAAAATAAAATAATTTGATACCTTCAAAGGTGACTCTCCACCTATGTAAACAAAAAATACACGATGTCTCTTTTGCACATGTTCAAACATTTGCTGACTTGGAAGTGGCCGAATTAGAGCCCTGTTTGAAAATGAAACAAACAAAACAAACTTGCATTTGAATTAAAAACAGTACATAATTTATGTCTAAAGTTACAAAGTTTTAATGTTGTATTAATTGCATTTTAAGTAATCACCCGATCTACATAAATCTAATAAAACTTTAGCCCATGACCACTATTGTACTCACATTAGAAAACAAAGTACCCACAATTTAATCTCTCAATTTAAAAAATAAGTTTAAAATACATCCCTTTAGCGAGTACCATCTTAGCCAATATTTTGATAGGGAAGAACAGAACTATAACCCAGTTAGTCCTCAGCTAAAAACAAAAGGATCCACATGAGAATTATTTTTTCCCTTCATAAGATCATTCACACTAACACTGTGAAAATCCTATCCCAGGAAATTATAATACTATGCTAAGATTTATGTCCATTTAAATGCTAGTTTTAAAATACCCTATAGAGGTTAAAATCTAAATGTTTCATAAGTATGTTATTCTTTTCAGAAAAAATACAATGGAAAGCGGTAGTCATAATAGTACCTAAGAACCTCATAAAAAGAAAACAAAACTCTACAAAGACTTTTACTATGCAAGCATATTTCAAAGCCAAATACACTGAGAAATAAATTACCTCAAAGGTTATTATAAAACATATCACTTGCAAAATGTTCCTAAAGGCTAAAAAGGGAGACATGGTTTATACTATCAGATTTTTAATCCACTAAATTTGCAGAAAGAATAAATACAGAGTTTGCAAAGGCAAACATATTTTCAAAATGCACAATTCCTTAGATGCATTGCATCACTCCACTCTAGCCTCTATTTTCATATTTCAGTAATTAACTGCTAAGTGATGCAACCCCAGAACTGAGTCATGAAATTCCATTTGCAACAGAGTCACCTCTAGTTACATCAGGAGAAGTCCATCTTAAGCTTAAAGTAAAACTCTAAAAAACTGCCAAAACATGAAGACCATCTAATCACAGGGAATGAAGTACACTAGCAATCCCCTCATATCAACTTAACTCACAATTTATTCAGAAAGCAAATAAAGAAAATGAAATATGCAATTGATGAGGAAATACAGTAAAAATTATATTAATAAGATTTGCAAACCTGAATAAAGATCATTCCTAATTCTGCCTTTTCTCAAATAATTCAAGCCATACAGTGCCATGCCACTAAACAAATCCATTGTGATATTCCAATTTACTTTAGAGCTATTTAAAGCTATCAGTGTATCCTGTCAAACTCACAAAAAAGTGCTTATACTTTCAAAGTCAATATAGGTTAACCTACCTTGATAAATGTTCTTTTTAATAAGTTCCACATAATTGCATTGAATAATTATAAGCACCAACTTTCTTTAAACCCCAGCAAGATAGATGTAGATTAAAAAACAAAATCACCACATTCAAACCAATAGGAAATGTTTATGGAAGAAATTGTTTTCTTAGCAGTAAAATCTCACCGATCTGTAACTCAAGTAAGTATCTCGGTTCTAATTATGTCACATCCTAAGCAATGTGTAGTAATACCTCACAGTTGGCATAAAGCAGCATGTGACAGATCAAGGAAAGTATTTCAGCTGTATCTAAAAAGAACTTTCCAGTATCACAGGCCAGGGATTAATGCCCAAGTCTATTCAGAACAATAATACTGCGGGGTTTCTTTTAAAAACTCTGAAATTAAGTAACAGGAAAAATAAGCTGACATAAATGCAGTATAAAAGCAAATTTATAGTAAAATAAAACTACAATTCACAAGGTTATTAGAAGTAATCAAATTCTGAAAATGCATTAAAAAATCCACTGGCAGGGGTGCCTGGGTAGCTTAGTGGGTTAAGCATCTGCCGTTAGTTCAGGTCATGATTCTGGGGTCCTGGGATTAAGCCCCACATTGGGATCCCTGCTCAATGGAGAGTCTGCTTCTCCCTCTCCCTCTGCTGCTCCCCCTGCTTGTGCTCTCTCGCTATCTGTAAATAAATAAATAAAATCTTTAAAAAAATAAAAAATAAAAAACTCCACTGGGGAAATTTTTTTTTCTACAAATGAAATGAATTTAATATGAGGTTAACAAATACAAGTCACAGTTCCTTTTGTTTCTTTAAAGTATCTCTTTGCATATGCTACATATGCCTACCTTTTGTTATAAATGAACACAGATGTTATTTAGGGTAAGTCGCTAAAAATATGTGGGTTCAATATGGTCTATTAAAATACATTAAGCTTTATCTTTATTTTTTTAGAGAGAGAGTGTGCATGCATGGTGGGGAGGAGCAGAGGGAGGGAGAGAGAATCTTAAACAGGCTCCACGCTCAGCATGGAGCCCAAGTGGGGCTTGATTTCATGACTCAAAGATCATGACCTGAGCCAAAATCAAAAGTCGGACACTTAACTGACTGTGCCACCTAGGTGCCCTAAAATTGCATTTAATTTTAAAGTACTAGTATTTTTTTAAAAAAAATTATTTAAATTCAATTAAGTTAACATATAGTATATTATTAGTTTTGGGAGTAGAATTTAGTGATTTATCAGTTGCATATAATACCCAGTGTCGTCCTTAATGCCCGTCACCCAGTTACCCCATCCCCCACCCACCTACCCTCCAGCAATCCTGTTTGTTTCCCAGAGTTAAGAGTCTCTTATGGTTTGCCTCTCTCTCTGTTTTTATCTTACTTTATTTTTTCTTCCCACCTGTTTTATTTCTTAAATTCCACATATGAGTGAAAAATGGTATTTGTTTTTCTCTGACTTATTTCACTTAACATAATATTCTCTAGTTCCATCCATGTGGTTCCAAATGGCAAGATTTCATTCCTTTTAATGGCTAACATTCGATTGTATATATATACACCACCTCTTCTTTACCCATTCATCTGCTGATGGACATTTGGGCTCTTTCCATATTTTGCCTACTGTGGACATTGCTGCTATAAAATATTAGTAATTATATAGTAAAAGCCTTTCCCAATAAAAACTTACCCAGACACTCTGTGAGCAAACTCAATAATATCATCTTTAGTTCGTGGTCCTCTGTAATTATATGCCAAGTCCCCCTTTAATCTTAAAAAAGAAAAAAAAAGGATAGAAGCTTAGATTATTTCAATGGTTTTAACAGTTAATACTAATCAGTATTGTTATATAAAATTATAGTATATAAAACAGTAAATGCAGAGTTGTTTCAGAAGTAGCATAACCATATGAAATATAGTAGGCAACTGGCTACAGGGGATCAACAACTCAAAATATAAAGAAAAAGGCTGTATTTTATTAAAATTACATGAAATAGTTTACTTTGTATCTAATAGTTGCATTGTGTCTATGCTTCTGAAAAATCATAATCTACACATTCATGGTCAAGAGCTTATCAAGGCATAATTCTCACTATCTTCTCTAGTTTAAAAAAATGAGAGGGAATTCATAGTATTTTGGTAGAGGGAAAACAAATTTTAAGCAACACAACATCATAGGAACTTGAAAGATGCTCCAAGATTATAGAATAAAACAAGGCATAAAACACCTATTCTAAAAAATTAAGATAATTTTCCAAAAGCCTGTCAATGATGTATCCAACTGAGATTTATTATTTATTTATTTATTTATTTTATCCAATTGAGATTTAAAAAAAAATGTGAAAGGACAATAGAACATCTAAAACAAACAAAAAAGAACAGAAAGGATAATTTACTTAACACAAGTAAAGGAGGCTTAACAAGATTTTTTAAAAGTAGGGGAAGGAGGGAAGTCAACACAAAACCCAAGAAATAAAGAATTAAAATTAGTCAAATTTTGAAATTTGAGATTTTAAAACACTGAAATAAAACTTAATTATAAAAATAAGTTTCAAAATAATTCCTCAACTCGCACATTACCAAAATAAGGATGAAACTCAAGAGAAAATTCAATAAAATTATGATTATGAAATAAATCCTTTAGAATGAGCACACCATTTCTCTCAATTTATATACACATTATATTAGACTTTGCCAACACTTACAGATTAGAATTAAATCCATCAATTTGATTCTCTTTGTTTCTTTCCTTTCTAATGAAATAAGTCTATTTCAATTAGAGAAAAGTAAAATTTGTTAGGAGACAGGATTCACATGATACAGCAGAATACACTCTTGAGCTCCTCAAGGGTAAAAGACCTTTCATACTTTACAGCTGTACATCTTGTCCGGCAGGATGCCCGCCACGCAGTGAGCACTCAGAGCGCATTTAGTGAACTAGCCGTAAACAACACCCTCACTTAAATACCAAGAAAAGCAGGAAGATGCAGTCCCTCTCCTTTGATCACATACTGCACCTAGAAAGAATTGCTGAACCCAAATCTTCAATCCTCCAAGGATGCTACTAGAAATTAATGTAATAAAACGTAAGTAGAGTGAACTAAGAAAAATACACATATAAACATACAACACTCAACTTACAGCTTAATTGTTGGATAACCTCGAACTCCAAACTCTGAAGCAATGCCTTGATAAGAAAAAGAATAAATAATTCTAAATTTTTTTTAAAAATGAGAAACTAGGTAGTAAATGAGCCTTTTACTTAAAAATATATATATTTATACAAACCCATAAAGATGTGTTGTTTTCAAATCTTAGAATATAAATTCACATACAAAAAAGAAAAAACATGACATTCTCATACAAAACAATTGCTTAATAATCCAACCTATGCCCACACAAAACACTATGACTAAGAAATAAATGCCAAAAGAATAGTTAAAATTTTATCCCTGAAGTACTTATTTTAAGATATACTTGTTAAAAAAAAATATATATATATATATAAAGTCTCACTTGTAATTTGATTTCATTTTCCAGGACAAATATTTTTTTTCTAGGTCTCATTGGTTCCTTGCAAAAATAAGTAAAAAAACAAACAAACAAACAAAAAAAAAGCAAAGCCCATCCTTTCGTGTTTTCTGAGTCTCAAAAGAACTGCATTGTATTTTAATTTTAAAAAGATAAATTGTATTTGCAAAATTACTTAATTTCCGCAGTCAATACATGATCTAAAAGCATCTTTATCTACTTGTTTTAGAAGTTTCTGCTTTTGTAATAACCCAGAAAAATTCTAGTTATTTTCAAAGATTATTCTGAAGTCCTCATGTTAATTAAAATGAGATACAGTTGCTACAATGGCAGCTTTTTTGAGGGAAAGAAGAAACAAAAACAATCAAATAGAGAATTAAGACTTTAAGAGGTACAGAAATCCCTACTGCAAATATACCTTCCTACTTTACAAATTCAACGCAACTAGAACAGCAAAGAAATGAAACCATCTCAGTTAAGAGACAATATACAATATATTTACACATATACCAGTTTAAATAAAATATAATGTATTTGTTCATACGATCTCTCCCTTTGTTAATTTTATTTATTTCAAGGACATTTTACCACAGTTGGGTATAAGGACACTACTGTCCGTGAGTTCTTGTTTACCAATCACTTTAGTAATCATTACTCTGGTTTCTTAGCACCGCCCACTACACAAGAATGATGACAAAGTGAATTTGTGGCAAAATTAATAGTCAAAATCTCTCAGCCTTCCTTTGTCATCAATAGAGTTTCTCCCTTAAACATATAGAGAAAGGTGACTGGAAGGTTCTGGACACTGATCAACACTGGTTTTTATTAGAAGCAACACAAACAGCAGAGGTAACAAAAATAACTCAGGTTCTGAAGATATAGGTCCTGCCTCTGAATAGCTATGTGAACTTAAACCAATTATATAATTTGTGCCCATCTGTAATGTAGGATTTAATTCTGTCCAACAGACTCTAATTGCACACTGTGGTTATTGAGATTGACTTCTTTACTCAGAAGAGTAAAAATATAAAAATGATTTGGGGGGATTATGAGAGTAAAAGATGTTCTTAATGCCCCCTTCCCAAATTAAGGAGGCAGGAAAACATCAGCCCTTAATTACCTTCAACTAAGACTAATATAATTGACGGGGTGGAGGGAGGCATATCTATCAATTCTTTAATTTATTGTAAAGGTTTTTTATAAACAAATCAAATAAAGAAAATATGCAATCAGTGAGAAAATACAGTGGTGGTTCTCAAAACAGGTTTCAGAGAAAAAAATCCCAGCTCCACATTTAACACCACAGGGTATCTCTAAGATGGAGATATATAATGCCATCCACTCTATTACACCTTGACTCTTTGAGCATTAAAACTTCATTTTTGATAGAATTTCAACTGGCAGTGACTCCTAAAACCTTACACTTAGGTTTCCCTAGGAAAACAGTTATACACACACACACACAAACATATATATAAAGCACACAAGCAAAGCATGGGTTATAGACTTAAAATGATGTAGGTTAGGATTCCAACTTCTCATTTATCATCTAGGCAGCTCTTTCCCTTCTGAGGACAGCACTCATTTTCTTCAGCTTATGGGTAGGATTTTAAAATGAGAAAACATGTGGAAAAGAATCTGAGAGGAGCTTGGCACGCAGAGATCCTCAAATGCTAGGTCCAATTCCTTTCTATTTCTGATCCTGATCTCACTGTTAAGTAATTATCTGCAGACACATCAGTGTATGTATAGTTAAGAACTATCACATGTAAAATATTTTATAGCTGAATTTAATAGACCTTCAACTATACCTCCAGACAATTCTGTGAGCAGGAGAAGGATACTATTATTACTTTTCAGGTAAAGAAACTGATACTTAGACTTGGTAACTTGTTTGAAAGCAAGCACTGATAAGGTAGCAGGACTATGAATGAAGCTCAAGTCTGACTTTTAACTTTTAGTTCTTTATTTTTTCATATTAGAAAACAGTGGTTCGCAATGGTTCGCATAGAGACCTGAGATCAATTCCTTCACAAATTCAAAATCCATTTGTAACATGAAATTTTATAATTTTAAATGCTCATAAAATGAGGCCCTTACTTCCTGTTTTCTCCTTGAAATGATAACAACTTGATGGTACAGCTAGGCTTGGATGTGAATCACGTGATCTCAAACTCTGGTCCTAATTCTACCTCTAACTTCAGTGTTTGAAATTACTCAGTCATTTCACTGCTAACTACCTGCTGTTTCTTCATCTGCACAATGGGCAGGGGGAAGGAGGAGGAGCTGCAATTAATGTGAAGTCCTTCTCAGCTCAAAATACTATTTTTCTTAGTATTTACTGAGTGTTACTATGTGTCTAACCCGAAGAGGATATAAAATACAGCAGTTGTTCTCAATTGGGGTAGATTGTGCCCTCCAGGAGACACTGGGCAATGTCTAGAGACATTTTTGGTTGCCATAACTTTGGGGGACAGTGGGATGGGCAGAAGGTTGTTACTGGTATCTAGTAGGTTGAGATCAGGGATGTTGCTAAATATCCTACAATGCACAGCAACCCTTCCCCCCCAAACAAAGGATTATTTGGCCCAAAATATCCTTAGGGCCAAGACTGAGCAACTCCGAAATATAATCACTGACCAAAAAGGGCTTGTAATTTAGAAGGAAAGATAAAACTAATTTGCCAATATGTTATTGGCCAAATGTCATTCCAAATTTACACATCAACGAGAAATAAGTTATGACTTTTAACATAAAATAAGTATCACACTTATGTTGAGGAATAAACAGGATTTCAGTGGTTTCAAAATAGAAATCAGTACACCATTACAGGTAGCATCATAACATATTTTACAAATGAGAAACAATTCTGGTACTTGATTTTGGAAGGGGTTATGTACAGAAAGAGAGGCTAAAATATCTATCTTTATACAGTTTTTTTATGTTGATTACAGCATTATCAGTTAAAACCATGCATCAAGAAAATTTTGATACAATTCCAAACACACAGGATAATTCATGAGAGTTCAAATTTCTCTGGTTCAAGAATTCTGTACACAGAGATGTGTTAGACTGAGTGTGATGGCATGCGCTTCCAATCTCAGCACTTGCATGACTGAGAAATAAGCTACCCTCAAATACTCTTAAGAGATTTTTTATACTTGATCACTGAATAATCCTATCCCACCTCAAGCCCAATCATTTAAATAACTATTCACCGGAATAATACTTTATTCTATGGTTCTCCAACTTAGACGTGCAGCAGAATTACCTGAAGTCCACGTTAAAAATACAGATTCTCATGACCTAGTCTCAAAGACTTTCATTGGGTAGGGCTGATGTTAGTCTTCAGAGTCTAAATTTACATTGAACAGCCCAGGTAATCCTAATGCAGGTGGTCTGCAGACTAAATGCTGAGATACACTGATGCTGCAAATGCCTGAAAAGTGACCTATGGAGATGGATGAAATACATAGGAAACAGCCAAGCCTTCAGTATTTACAGTTAGACACAGAATAATGTTGACAGCTAGTTTGAAAAAAGAATTCAATTTCTTTATCTTTTTCTACTAAAATGCCTGTAATGGAGCTGCCTTGAGGTATTTAAAAAACTTTAAGAATTATATGCCCAAAATTTATTTGTACAATCTCTAGACAGTAGTTTTTAAATACGCCTTTTTAAAAAAAATACTAGGGAAGGTAATATTTTCTCCGTAAGCACATAAAACATCTCCTTGATTCTATAGTAAAGTAGAAAATGCATCCATCGCTGACATCAAACACTAAGTAACATAACAATCTACTTATGTTTTTATTGTTTGTCTCTCCCCTCTAGAATATAATCTCCATGAGAGTGGAAATTATTGTCTGTTTTGGTCACTGATGTATCATTATGCCTAGAATGTGCCTGGTACATTCTGGCATATAGTTAAGGGCTCATGAGATAACCCGCTGAATGAATACTAACTCTACAACTTTTTGACAAAAGAATGATTTTTCAATAGGCTATGTTTGTATGATGCAGTCACAAGGATTCACAAACAAACATTACCATGTAGCTTGGGAAAGGGCGTGGAGGATTTAGCATTGCACATCCAAGGAGTAAAGGACATAAAGTATAGGAAGCACCCACCACAGTACTTGGCAGAGGATCATCCTCATATACCAGGTCCCCTATCCCTTTTCCCAAAGCTAGATGGTTTGCTTGAGATAATGTGCTCTGAATGCTCTATAGAGGTTTCTTCCTATTAATTCAACATAATACATAACATGATGCTAAATGAACAGTAAGTCTGTAACAGTCACAGATCAGAGGCAAAAATTTAAACCTCTTAATGTATTATGAATACGGGATAAAAAAAGAGTGCCATCGTAAAGTACCTAAAAAGCTACAAACCATATACAAAGTCTTAACACCTATAAGAATATTGCATTTTAATCACAACATTTAAAGCATTTTCTTTTCTAAGCTACTCAGAAAGAAGTCTTAGCTATTTTTCCCCTAAACACAGTGTCACTTAATAGTGACACACATAGGTACTTAGTACGTACATAAGAGTAAGCTAATGAATTAGATACTACAAAAAGAATTGACTTAATGTAAACAGTTATCACTGTAGCATCACATGAGTAGTTTACCATTAAGGTTTTTGCTGGATTGGAGCGCCTGGGTGGCTCAGTCGTTAAGCATCTGCCTTCGGCTCGGGCCATGATCCCAGGATCCTGGGATCGAGCCCCGCACTGGGCTCCCTGCTCTGCGGGAAGCCTGCTTCTCCCTCTCCCACTCCCCCTGCTTGTGTTCCCTCTCTCACTGTGTCTCTCTCTGTCAAACAAACAAACAAATAAATAAATAAATAAATCTTAAAAAAAAAAAGGGTTTTTGCTGGATTTGTGGGTACTATTTTTTTCACTATTTATCTTTATATACCCACACTCCTTTATACATTATTTTACTTTATGACTCCATTAGATGACTCAAATGATCACAAGAATTTGCTATGTTTGAGACTTTATTCTACCTGTTGGTTTATTCATATTTCTCCTTCTATTGGACTAAGCATTTCCTGGACAAGAAAGGATTTGTTCTGGTCTTCCTTTAATCTCTAGAGACTAATACTCTAGTTAGTAAACACACTGAGGTGAATACAATTGACAATGTGAATGAACACAGGTACATGTGTTCATTCACATGTGCAGGCCTAATCAACAAACAACACAAGATTGCCTAGACACGGAGCTTACTTTCAGGAGCAACAGTTGAAATCAATAATTTCTCAAACATTGTTAAAAGCTTATTTCAAGAAATCAATCTCTGTCTACAGTAATTCCTGCCATTGCTCTAGTCTTCTCTCAAAGTTTTAATAACTTATTTGTTTGACTGTAATTCCAGCCCTCACACGTAACTGCTCGCTAGTTCTCTGTTCCCAAACATCAGTAAGCGAAATACCATAAATTCACAGCAGCTGCTAACATGGAAACACACAGAAAATTAATTACTCTTTCCATATAACCTTGTAGTAGTGTAGTTCAGTAACTATGCTAAGAATCTTATACTATTACTTTTGATTTTTTTCTTTATACTACAGAGCCAGTCTATCACAGCTGTGATTTCATCCTTGAAGATGTCTGTGAGGATTACTATGTCCTCTTCACTCCACTGTCATTACCAAGTCTGGGCTTTCAGCATCCTACACCAAGATGCATACAAAAACTGACCTACATGATTTTCTTGTCTCTAATTGCTTTTCTTTTGCATCGTACATGTTGCTGCCAAAAACATTTTTATCAAGTCAACTGCTTCTCAAAAATGTCCATTACTTCTCAATTGACAACTGATAAAATCTAAAACACCATGACGTGACAGACCTCTAAAATCTCGTCTTATACTTCATCTTATGTGCGCTAGCCCCTGTGCAAGGGATTTTGAATATGAAATGTTAATACAATCCTCACAACCTTCAGGATTACTACTCTCCCACTTACAGACATAGAAACTAAAATTGAGAGGTTAAGGCCTTTCTCAAAGCCCCAGAAGTAGGCACATGGGAAATTTGGGATTAAAACATAGGCCTATCCTGGGACTCCTGGGTGGCTCAGTCTGTTAAGTGTCTGCCTCTGGCTTAGGTCATGATCCCAGGGTCCTGGGATCGAGCCCCGCATCAGGCTCCCTGCTCAGCAGGGAGCCCGCTTCTCCCTCTGCATGCCACTCCCCCTGCTTGTGTGCATGCTCTCTATCTCTGACATATAAATAAATAAAATCTTTAAAAAACAAAAACAAAATAAAAACAAACAAAAAAACCCCATAGGCCTGTCCTTTTCCAAAGCTGTATCCTGAGTATAATCCTGATTTCCTAGAAAGAAATGTGTATTACACAATTCCACTTTTCTTCATTGATTAAAGGAAAAGGAACCTATATGTATTGAATACTATAAGGGACTGGACATGTGCTACATCATTCAAATCTCAAAAAAACCAATGAAAGCCACATGACAATTAAATATTTACCAATGCAGACATCCAAACTTAAGAGATGTTAAGAAATTTTTCCCATTTTACATGGCAAAAGTAGCAGGCCGAAGCAGGATTTCAATTCAGGTCTGCTTTCTGAAGCCATGCTCTTTCCAAATTTCTATGATACTTCATACTTCTCTAAACTTAAATTCTTCTTTTCTCAAATCCTTTAAGATAGGCATTGGTAAACTTGTCTGGAAAAGGTCAGATGACAAATATCTTAGGCACTGTGGGGAAAACAGTCTCTGTTGAAACTGCTCAACTCCTCCAGTGGAACATGAAAATGGCACAGACAACATGAGTGAGTTGTCGTCTCAAGAATGAGTGAGACTGTGTGCCAGCGTAGCTGCGTTTACAAAAATGGGCAGCGGGCCAGATTCTGTCCACAGGCTTTGGTTTGCCGACCTCTGCCTGAGGACAACCTATTCTCATTTCCAACTCTAACATTTTGCTGTAATATTCTCTCTAATGTGAATACTTTCCTGGGCCTCCCTCTTCTCTACCTTAACTCATCTTGTAGGTCTCCATTTCCTTCTCTACCACATCATCTCTGGCTACTCAGACAACTCTTTCTGAATTCACACAGTAACACCAACTGTTTTGACACTCAAATTTCTGTAGTTGCCGCAGGTAAACAGCACATCTCAAGGGGGCTCAAAGTAGGAACAATGGCTTATACATACATGTTAGGCAGAAGATTAACATACACCGCATATTACACATTTGATGGCTAAATCACTTAACGCATAAAGTATACAATCTTTAATTATTAAGATAACTTTAATTTACCTGAGCAAAAAATAAGTATTTCTTCCTCCTACCTTGAATACTGCTTCACATTAAGTAAACCATTTTCACTATGAGAACAGTAAAATAATAAACTGAGTAAATGCTTACTGGAATAGGAGGTAGCATCCATCTTTCCAACTTTAACTGGAGAACCAATACTTTTCATCTCAAGACCAACTTCATTCCAAATCGGTTCCAGTTTTTTACAATGGCCACACCATGGTGCATAAAACTTGTTGGGGGAAAAAGAAAAGACAGCCACTAAAATATTGTGCTATTGTGTATATCAATCTTAATTTTTAAAGACTCTCTTTGACTAAGTGATCTGATGAGTTCATTTCAGATAAAAAGTCTAAATATAATTTCTGAAGTAGTTACATAATAAAAGGCAAAACACACACACCACGAATCTAATTAGTTTAACTCCTAGCATATACGTCAACACTGATACTACTTAAGTTCATTTAAAATGACTACTTATTCCTATTTAAAACAGATAATTTACAATAAAAACAGCTTTGCTTCAGTCTATGTCACATATAAAATAAATACACATACATCACACACATCTCTTAAGTGTTCATGATGAACATGAGTCCATTTCTATTACGAAAACCCCAACACAGTAGGTACCTTTGCTACTTTAAGCATAACTACTGGTAAGGCATGGGGGGATCACTAAGATGACTGGCTTGGCGTAGGGACAAGTCAGGTTGATTAAACTAAAACCACAGTTCCTTTTTCTTCAGGATCACCAGAGGGCTGAGGTGGAAATAGGTTCCTCTAGTACAATGGTGTAAGAGACTGCTTGTTGTACTTTCATGAAATAAGATTTATCTATTCTTTAACATTATATTATGGAAATATTCAAACATGCACAAAAGGAGAGAGGAAGAATTAAACAATGGACTCTCATGCCCCATCGCTTGGCTTCAGCAACTGTCAACTCTGCTATTCTCATTCCATCTCTTTTGCTGCCACTCTACAACATTTTTACTGAGACAAGATAAAAGGAATCCCCAACAACATGAGGTTTAAATACATTCTAAACTTGAAAGTGAAAAAAGGAAGTAAGATGAAAATCTGATTTTGTTCCCCATTAGGATGAAAATACGATTTTTACTGTCAAGTGATAATAACATAAATAATTTCTTGCATAACAAGAAAAAAGAAGAGTGAATTTAGTAGTAAAATCATACCACAATCTCCCTCAGACATAATCCATATGTCGACCTCTTCAGAATTTCAGCAAAAACAGGTTCCCCTGCCAGGAACCTTAAGGCTCTGAGGTTCATTTTAATGTGATAACCTACATAACACTATGTGACAAAACCTGAATAATATACATAAACACTAACCATATATTATCATATATGTGCGGAGGAGAATAGAAAATAATTCTTAAAATGGCAGGGGTAGTTAATTAGTACAAAAATTTACATACTCACATCTACAAGCCAAATGTCATCTTTCCGATTGTCTTTAAACCTAAAAAACAAACATGAGAAAACAAATCTCTGATTGCATGTTTGTTTCTACTTTACGATATGTGGGGCTGATAAACTGATAAATACTGGAGCATGGAACAAATTCTTTCAACAAGTTTTTATGTAAAATTTTTACTAAGTGACCTCTAAATCTTATCCATTAAACATCTTTTAAAAAGTAGAGAACTGATAATCGGAAGTACAAAATAAAAAAAATTGGGGTGCCTGGGTGGCTCAGGTCCTGATCCCAGGGTGCTGGGATTGAGTCCCACATCAGGCTCCCTGCTCAGTGGGGGAGTCTTACTTCTCCTTCTCCCTCTGCAGCTCCCCCTGCTCATGCTCTCTCTCTCTCTCTGAAATAAATAAAATCTTTAAAAAAATTAAATGAAAAAAAATTAAGTGGGACTTCGTAGAAACACAGATAGAGGCCTTAGCTCCCGGCCCCTCTATTCCGTTTACTCCTGTGCATTACAGTTAGCATAGCTAAACTGAGACTGCTATCCTTAAAAAGGTCTGCTTCCAAGACTGGCCCTTGGTTGGCATCCGGGAACTTGAATTTCAGGAGCGTTTCCACCTTTTCCTGATAAGATAGCTCACTGTTCCAACACTGTGCAAACAAAGTGGTTTTATGATGACATCTGCTTTCCTTCCCGGATCTGAAATTTTGGTATAGACTAGGCAGGAAGGTCCTTACATGACCATCCCCCAATAAGAATCCCTAAGCACTGAGTCTCTAATGAGCTTCCTTGGTAGAGACCATTTCAAACATGTGGTCACAACTCCTGATGGAGAAATTAAGCACATCCTATATGACTCTACTAGGACAGGACTCTTGGAACTTGTTCCTGGTTTCCTCTGGAATTAACCCCACACTGGCTTTTCCTTTTGTTGGTTTTGCTGTGTGCCCCTTCACTGCAATAAATCATAACTGTGACTTCCACAATAGGCTGAGCCCTCTGAGTGCTCCTCATCAATAACCAAGCCTGGGAGTGCTTTTGGGGACCCCCTGACACAAGAGCCTACAGTCAAAGAATTTTCCTGAAACACGGTTCTGATCATCCGATGATGTTTCTCTTATTTGACACCTTCTAGGTGCCCTTCCACCACCTACAAAAAGAAGTATAAATTGCTACATGTACTCATGTGCTGGTTCCAACTTATCTTTCCACTCAAATATAAGCATCCTATGATTCCTAATCAACTCATGGTATTTATCACAGCTAAATTCACAATGTTTGTTTGACTTTCTACATTCTTTCATGTTCACATCCTATCCAGCTAAAAGCATTTCTTACTCCATGCCCTCCTAAATTCCTCACAGCTAGAAACAATCTCTCCACATCATCTTTATCCTCTTTAGGATTCTTATCAATTTCCACACATTGTATTTACATATTATCCAACCATAAATATGTTTGTTTCATCTCTTAGTACCTTGCACAGTGACCTATATTTAATCTATACTGAATGAGTGACAAAAGTTCTTTATGGGGTTATTTCAGTATGATTCTTGAACCTACAAAGAGAACACATGTCCAGTATCTGAGCTCTTCAGTCTAACAGCACTCACATCTGTCCAGCTCTGACACAGTCTGTCCTGAACCATGGGCAAGGATAACACCCTTAATCGATCCCCCAGGTTGGTAAACCCAAATCTTCTGCCTTTGCTCCCCTCATGTTTAATTAAAAGTTCTACTGTACATACCGTACATCACTTTCTTGAAGCAAAGACTCATACTCTGTACCCAGGGGCAAATGCAGGAGGTTACTATCTCCTAGTCCTTGGTATTTAATAGCCATTTTCATCTCCCACTGATCTCAGTCTTTGGGAAGGAATTGGTATGGAAGTCCTTTATAGATGCCCCACAGGGACTACAGAGTCAGTAATTGTCAAACTGAAGGAAGGGGACAGATAACCTGGCAAAGTACCTGATTGGGGAATTGCTGCATTGAGACCCAGGCCCGAGATGTATAGTCCAGGCTGGGGTAATCTTATTCCCTCCCATCGGCTGATTAAGCCCATACTTCAAATGTTCATTAAAACGCTCAAGTACCCCTGTGGATTAGGGGTGATATGGAGCACGGAGAGTCTGTTGTATGCCCATGGCTGGGCCAACTGATGGGTATGAGCGTAAATTCCAGGACTGTTACCAGATGCAGTGTTCTCAGGGAACCTGAAAAGGAAACAAATGTGGTCTTGCAGGGCCTGGAGAGTGTGGCTAGAGTCTGAGGAATGCATGGAAATGGCTAGGCGAAACCCAAAGAAAGTGTCAACTGATATCACAATCCACTGAAACACGATCGATGGCAAAAGGGGCCGAGCCTGTTCTATCTGCTGAGAATGCCCTAGCACATATACCTGAAGGAAACTGTTTGGGGGCAGTAGTTTTAGCCTTGACCAGAGTCTGACAAGTGGGATGGCTCTTTCATGCTGTTTTTGTGTCTTCTCACCACAGTGGCGGCCCGTGTCCTGCCAGCCCCATTAGGACGGTATCTGAATCTCCATGGGCCATACTCTTGTGGATCCAGGAGGCAACTGATTGTGCACCTGCTTGCTCTGGTGTGGAGAACAATTCAGTTTCCACATTGAGCTAAAAGCATGATATGTTCATTGGTTATGTTTCCTTTTGCAGCATAGGGGCCTTTCTGGTGAGCATTCACACAGGTTACAAAACACTCTCGATGGGCACTGCATAACGCAAAGCACTTCTGAGTCACTATGCTGTACACCTGAAACTAATATAATGTTGTATGCTATAAAAACACTTAGGAAAAAACACTTAGGAGGAGCAGATGATCTTCATCCAGATGTCTCATCTCCACAGGAGGCCCTGTTTTATATGCTACACAACCAAATGGCCAAGCCATTAGCCACAGCCCATGAGACAGTGAAAAACATAGCAGAGCTCACTTGCTGGAGCCGGAGCAATGAGCAGGAGGTGTAGGAACAGTGGGGCAGATAATCTTCCACACTGCATGAAGCTGCCCACGGTGTGATGGCTCTTTACCATACTTGATGAAGGACAGGTCTCTTTCAGGTTGGATGGCAGCCACACCCAATTCCTACAAGTTAACCCACAGGAGCCATTAGTGACCAGGCCCATGGGTGGTCCTAGAGGTCTGTCTGGGTCCCCATTGGGCCAGAGGAGGCAATGCCTCCTTTGGTGTTATTCCTCAGGTGGAGGGGTAGTCATGGGACCTTTTCATGGAGTTGCAAGACTCCAGATGGGCTCCTATAAGTTCCATTACCACTTCACTAGAGACCCAGAGCTGGCCCTATTTAGCAACGTGACTAGAAGTTCTGCATGTGAGCCTACTAACCACACTCATCCAAGGCCAATAAATGCCTCTCAAAGGGAGTGTATCTTTCAGTCCATGACTGGTCTGTGCTAGCCTGTAGTGTTGTCGTCCTGCCTCAGGTTCTGATTAGTGAACTGAGAGTTTGCTGACATGGGTAATTCAAATGGCAGAGGTGGACCAGCGGGGCTCAGGAGAGGGGCGGCTTGGTGGCCCGCTGGAGGGCCTTCAGGGCATCCTGGCGGTTGGGGCCCCTCTCAAGAGCAGCAGCCCTTCGGTAACCTGATGGAAGGGTGCCATCAAGATCCCCACAGGGCTGTGTAACAGCACCAGTAGCCACATAAGCCCAGGGGCTTCTTTTTTTTTTTTATTTTTTGGGGTCAAAAAAGGTCAAAAGTTTGGTAACAGTCTCCTCTGGAATGGATGTTATACTGCTTCCCAGATCAGGCCCAGGAATTAGGTCCTTGTATGTTGCCTATGTTAACAGCCCAGCCACATTGTCACTTGTGAGTCTTCATGGCGTCCAGTCCTTGTTGGGCAGTGCCCTGTCTAGGCCCTCTAGGAGGTTCTCATCAACCTAATAGAAATCCAGTGCTCCCTCCAGAAGCAAGACTTTTTCCAGACCATGGCCTACCCTTTGATAGCAGACAGATGGGAAATTAAAGAGCCTTGTAGAAGGACATTAAGGGTGTGCTGGAATCCACTTCACATGAAGGAAATTGACCCTGGTCAGTCTGCCGGAGGGGGATGATGGAAAAGGCATTTGCAATATTATCTGCTACAGACCAAGCTAACCTCCAGTAGCTTCTTCATGACGTCAGGTACCACCCAGTGGCAAGAGCAGCACTTTGGTACTGAGGGACCTATAACCAATAGCCAATCTCCTGGTACCTAAGGCCTTGTGCAAAGGCCAGACGGGGCTACTGAATGGAGAAATAGTCTCACAGAGAACTTTGTCTTCCTTCAGCTCAGTAATCAGGATGGCTATTTCCTTTACTCACCAGGCAGCCAATATTGTTTACCTTTCAAGACAATGGTGCTAGGAGCTAGTAACCAAGTAGGTTCATAGTCCTCCACATGTTCCACTAAAATGGCCCTAATTATAGCAATTCCGACTGGGGCTTAGAGACAAAGGTGAATGGGAGTACACAGAGACAACACATCTATACCAGTAACACATTTAGTAGTAGGGGCTTGAAAGTACTCACCCTGAGCCAAGCCTGGGTAAAAGGGTCATCACAGACTCAAAACTGGGAGGCATTTTATGTATCCTCCTCATCCCGGTAGCAGGGGAAGTAGAGATCACACTCACCGGTGCACGGATATCCAAAAGGCCCAAGAAGTACAATTCTCCCCCACTTCCCCAATGAACTCTGACCTTGGCAGAGGATGTCCAGCCCACCCTGGGGACAGAAGGACCTCAACATAACACCTATTCAGGGTCTGGGTAGATGTTTAGGACTCTTCCACTCATTTGGTGGGGATACTACTTGTGATAGTTAGAAGGCTTAAAAGGGTTTGGTAATAAGCAGGAACATCAAAAAGAAACCTAGACATCTGAGTCTGCATAAGTTTCATTATCCACTGTTTCCTAGTCTCTCCATGTAGACCCAAGGGATCACCAAGGTGGCTCACAGGACTACTACAGCCTCTGAGAGCGGGGCAGCCATTTTTCGGTGACAGGAAGCTTGTCACGGGTGGGCCAAAACCGTCAAGTTCACACTGCACCCAGCTGAGAAAGGTGAGGGTCTTAGGTGTCTGTGCCTGCTCATATCCTCCTTCCTTCTCCTCCCCAGGCAAAAGTCACCACCATGAGGGCATTCTAAAGGAGGAAGCCTATAGTGACACAGCCCTCAAGACACCAAGTTTAACAAGATTACCTCCATGTTCACAATATGGTTAACCATATGGCTCCTTCAGGAGCGCCTGGGTGGCTCAGACAGTTGAGCGACTGTCTTCAGCTCAGGTCATGATCCTAGGGTCCTGGGATCGAGCCCCGCTCAATGGGGAGTCTGCTTCTCCCTCTGCCCCGGCCCCTCCCCCTGCTCATGCTCGCTCCTGTGGCGCTCTCTTTCTCATGAATGAATAAAATCTTAAAAAAAACAAAAAACAAAAAACCACAATGGTTCCCTTCAGAATCTGTTGTCACTCCCCAATGTCTATTAGCACGGCTAGTGAAGTGCCCCCTGGGATCCTCAGGATTCTATACTCTTCCAGAACAGCACTGTGCTCACATGACCACCCTGCTACTGTACCAGTTTTCTTGTGTAGAGGCAGTTAATTAGGACAACAAGCCAAACTGAAAGTAATAATCAAGTCTTTATTCACTTACTGTGACAACATAAGCCAACAGGCAAAAAATTAAAAAAAAGGTGCCAGCTCCTCAGTGTTCCATTTTTCCAAGTGGAACAGTACCAGACGAGGGTCAGGTGGATGCAACATAGACAGTAGAATTCACCTCACTACAGAGGAGCATCCAAAGACTTCTGCCTCTTTATGAACCCATGGGCAGGAGAAGCAAAGAGGGAAAGGGACAGGAGTAGAAAAGTACTGAGTCCAAGCAAAGAAAAGTCCCTCCACCCACCCCCTAGATAAGGAGGTCTCAGAAGAGATGCCTAGGAGTGCCCCAGGTGAGGGCCCCAATAAGGACGCCTCCAAAAGAGGCAACTTGCACGTGCTAAACATGCATGTGAGCCTGGCTAGCCTAGGGGCCTTAGTCTATGATTACAACTCCCTCCAGAGACTGCAATGCACTGGCTGTGCACCAAGTCTAGTGTGGGGAGAGCAGCTTCACCCCCCAAAGCCTGCCAGGAAGCCTTGTAATTGCCTATGGTCAGGCCTGAAAGATCACACATAGGATTTTGGTCTGTCTGGAGCTGGACTCCTCACCTACTTACCGACTATAAGCAAGGCTTTGTGATTAATGCTATGGTACTATAAAAACAAATATACAGTATGGTTACTAAATTCCAGCACCTGCTCCATCATGATATATGCAGAAAAGCTAACAAATACATAATGAAAAATGGTAAAACAGAATATGGTACTGTTAGTAAACTCTGTTGAGTACAACCCCATTTTGTGCACATAACACTCAGGACAACTTCTGAAACAAAATTAGTACCATATAAATACTGCTCATTACCGTCTCTATTATTAAAATAGATTCATTGAAACATTTAGATAACACCAGAGTTTAAAGAAGTTAAGATGCCATTTAAAATACACACATACTTACGATTCATCTAAATCTTCTACAAATCCTTTACAGAAAGTCATATCAAGTAAAAAAACTGGAAAAAAGGAAAAAAGAACAAAATGTTTACAGTAATGCTGACATTGTTTCATACTACATGCTTAGTCATCTATAAAATGTTTTTCATTTTTTACAATCTACCATAAAATCCATCACTGATCCATTCCAAGGCACAGACAACGCATAAGCATATGTAGTTCATCCCTTTACTAAATATTCACTCTGCAGGCACCTATACTGCCACCGGTAGGGTTTATGTAGGCTAGTAATTCTGAAACACACAGGTTCTCTTTCAATATGTTTTTACTCTCATCACTTTTTTCCTTTTTGCCATCCCATCTTTTTTTTTAACATAAGAAATCGTTCTATATTTCTCCAGTAGTAATTATCTCCTCTGTATAAACTCCAACTACCATTCAAAATACTACGTTTTTTTTTTTTTCTTTTTTCAACTTAGGTAGAAACAAAACTGAGCTACATCTCTAACAGTTCTCACAGCCGGGCACGCAGCGGGGAACCAAAGGGCTGCTGAGGAAGTGAACACACCACAGCGAGGACCAGGGCAAGCGATGCTGGCAAGAGGAGGCTGAGAAAGGCCGCCACCTACTCTGATCACTTTTCACACTTCACAATCCGTCGACCTGATCATGACCTGTCCTTGGCCATCATGACCTGTCCTTGGCCATACCCCCGGGTGGGTAAAAATTCTCCGGACGTGACAAGAGGCGGAACCTAAAGCCAAAGCAAGGTTTGGCCACAGGCTGCGGTGGTGGAGCCTTCACCCTTTCAGTGGAGTCAGCGCTATTGAAACTCCCTGCCACACCAAGCACAGAACCAAATGGAAGACAGGCGCATCCTTTTCTGGCACTGGTCCCGGGCACAGCCGCGTTGGGGGAAGGACCCAGAAGCTGGGGGATATCTCGGAGGATCCCAGAGCCTCTCTGCACCCTGGTGGGAGAGCCCTGTGCAGGCTCGACCCCGCTCGGCAGAGGGTCCCCGCGCCCGCTCCCATCGCCCCCGCGCGGCCCTTACCTGTGGCGCAGAGCCGCAGGCCGGCGCCGCGTCTCCCAACTGCCATGCTTGCTGCAGAAGAACTGCAAAAGCCACGGAAAAGAACGAGACACCGGCGGCCGCTGCTCGCGCTCCCGGAAAAGGAAGCTGCCCGTGGGCGCGCGGACGAGAAGCCCGGCACGGAGGGCGGGGGCGGGGCAGGCCGGCCTCCGCTACCCTCCCAGGACCTCGCCGGCCTCCGCCTCTGAGCATGCGCGGAATTGCGGCGCATGCGTGGAACTGGGGCGCTTGCGCAGTCGTGCCTACAAATTTTGTGCGCTTCCCGCTGCGGTCGGGAGCGTGGGAACCTAGCAAGTGGGCGGTTTCCTGTGGGGGCGGAGCGGTGTGTGGAGTTGGTGGGCGTTTCCGGGAAGTTAGATACCAGTTAAATTTAGAGGGGAAAGTGAGATAAACTCCAAAGAAGCTGGAGGTTTAATTCTTCCAGATCTTTCACTTGCTGCTCCTGTGCAGCGAGCGATCAGAGTCGTGAAAAGAGGTGGGTGTCAGCGGTGTGTAGAAAGATGGAAGGCAATGGATTGATGTGTGAGCCTCCATCTATTTCCAAAATAAATTTGGAATCTTCTTTGAACCTGTTTGCGAAACGAGATACCTGCTGTAGTAGTAAGCTCTGTTAATGCGTCTTTGCCAACTAAAGGAGTCCCATCTTAAAAATTGTTTCTTTTGGAACCCGAAAAAGTGAAGTTGATCGTCAGATACAAGTTTCTGATGATTCGTTCCTATTTTCTGATTCCTTTTGATAAGAGTAAAATACTGTATTTGCTGCTCTCTTCACCTACACAACAAAAGATATTTATAAAAGCGATATATTTTTATATGGTGATTCCTGTTGCAGTCACTACATCTGATTTAGATGACATTTTTATAGAACCTAAAATATCAGAAGATTTAGATTGAATCAATTATTGAACATGTGTTATGAGAACAGAAATGGATTATGATGTCATCCAGGTCACCTTACGTTCAAAATACCAACGGGCAGAGATCTCAGAAAATTCTATTCCTAATGACTAGAAGATTGAATTATGATCTGATTGAGAGCAAGCCCTAGATTTAACCCATTTTATACATACAGCATAGTATCCATTGTGGGCCTTCCGCAGATTCAAAGATTTTTTTAATTGCGTGTCTAGTTTGAGTTTAACATACATAAATATTTAATTCTCCTACAGGTTACTAAAGTTGGAATTATATAGATCCTGGGGCTCAGAAAAAGTAATTTACTTAATAGCTCCAAATGATGGAGTTGCCATTTGAAACAGAGTTTCAGACTCCAGAGCTGTTCTTTTCCTAACCCAACACTGCCTCATGGATCTCTTTTTGCAATTGAATTCTCTCCCTCCCTTTTCCTCCCCCTTTCAGTCATCCTATTTTGGCTAATGTTACAAATATTTTTTTTTTCTTCTTTTTTTCATTTTTAAAAATTTTATTATGTTATGTTAATCACCATACATTACCTCATTAGTTTTTGATGTAGTGTTCCATGATTCATTGTTTGTGCATAACACCCAGTGCTCCACGCAGAACGTGCCCTCTTTAATACCCATCACCAGGCTAACCCATCCTCCCACCCCAGTCCCCTCTAAACCCTCAGTTTGTTTTTCAGAGTCCACAGTCTCTCATGGTTCGTCTCCCCCTCCGATTTCCCCCTTCATTTTTCCCTTCCTACTATCTTCTTCCTTTTTTTTTTTAACATATATTGTATTATTTGTTTCAGAGGTACAGGTCTGTGATATTTGACCAGCCGATTATCCTTGGAGTTACGCTGGGTTCTTTCCAACTTAAAGGTACTTACTGTATGATTTTATGTACATAAGCTCAAAATTGGGAAATTAATAGTGTTACAAGGCAGGGGTATAGGCAATTTTTTTTTTCTTGATCTGAGCCCTACTATACAGATCCCTTCACTTTGTGAAAATGCACTGAGCTCTGCCCTTACAGTTTGTGTACTTTCTGTATTTATACTCTAACAATGAAAGTTTAAGAGTAAATAAAACTAAGTCTTATTTTAATGGAAAGGTGATCATTATATTCTGTTAAAAAGTGCTTCTCAAATTGTACTAAGCATCATTTACCTGGAGAACTTGATAAAACAGTTTCTGAATACTCCTTTCAGAATCTGACCAGTAGGTCTGGATTTGCATTTCCCACAATTTCCCAGGTGATGCTGTTGCTCTGGCCTGCAGATCTCATTTAGTGTTGAAAGAAAATAAATCCAGAAAATAACATTCATTTTTAGATTTCTTTGTGTAAAATACATGGGGTGAAAAAAAAATCTAGAAATAAAAATCAAGTTTTTTTTAGTTTTTTCTTGATGACGTGTAATGGTTTTATTGTTAGTGTTAAATGATACTTTTTTTTAAATGTCTCAGTTTTAATTTGAAATTTGGTAAATATTATTAGATATAACCCACATTAAAGAAAGGTCTCTGGAATTCTTAATGTATTTTTAAGAGTGTAGAGAGGTCCTGAGAACACAAGTTTGAGAACAAAGTGGACATTTATAGAACTCTGCATTAAACAAGCAGGGAATGCATACTGTAACATACATTGAAGAAAATTATAGACCTAGCATATCATAAAGTAAGTTTCAACACATTGAAAAAATGTGGTATTATCAGTGTGTTTTTTTTTTTAAGATTTTATTTATTTTTTGTTAGAGAAAGCGAGAACAAGCAGGGGGAGTGGGAGAGGGAGAAGCAGGCTCCCTGCTGAGCAAGGAGCCTGATGTGAGACTGGATCCCAGGACCCTAGGATCTTGACCTGAGCTGAAGGCAGACGCTTAACCAACTGAGCCACCCAGGCGCCCGTCAGTGTGTTTTCTGACCACAACACAATAAGATTATAAATCTATAAAAGATAAAAATATCCCCTAAATCTGGAAATTTAAAAACACTTTTAAATAGCATCTTTGTAAAAAGTAATAGGAATTAAAATATGCTTAAAAGTAAACCAAAAAATGTCTATTAAAATTGTAGGAAGCTGCAAAATTGGTGCAGAGAAATTTATAGATGTAAATATCTTTTTATTTTAGAATGAAAAAAATGAAAATTAGTTAACTATTCTCCTTGAGAAGTAGATGAAAAGACTTTAGAAAAAGGATGGCACAAAAGATACACAGGGATGTTAGTTTTCTTTTATTTGCCAGAAACTGTGCATTGAGAACATAGCATTGAACAAAATGGACCCTGGTTCAGTTCACTACCTAGTGGGTTAGAAGAGTTCCCACTTATGAGGCTTATATATTGAGTTAGGCAGTGTTCTAAATGCTTTATATGTGAACTCATTCAGAGAGGAAAAAAAAGTTACAGTAGACTCAAAAGAAGTCCCAAAGTGTGTTTTTGAAGCAAGCAATAAAATGGACAAATTTCTTGTTTTAGCAAATCCAGAAAGAGAGAGCACATAAGAAAGAATGAGAAAATGAGAAAGCACCTAAAGCATCCAGAAATCAGGGCCACCTTCCAAGAGCCAGGCTGAATCATACTTCAAGCCCAGAGAAGGGGAAGCCAACTCAAGGGAACCAGTTCAGGTAAGAGAACTTCTGTACGCATCTCATATTCCCGCTCTATATACTGACCCTTGAAGCACAAAGCCCCAGTTCACTCACTGGGAAAGGCAAAAAGGAGAGAAGATGAATCAAGACCCCAACTCCCACTGCAAGTTTGCAGCCTGAAACAGTCTCAGGAGGAGAAGGGGAAAATTTTTTGAGGGTAAATCTAGTTCAGAATTTTGTTAATACTAGGACTGAGTATGCAAATAATTGAATTTTTTTTTACTTAATTAGATCTTTTATCCAGATGGGCTTGTTAGAATTTTTATCTAGGCACAGGAGAAGAATACTCACACTGAGAAATGTGTAAAGGGATGATGGGAAGACAATCAGTTATTTTGATTGTGTTGCCATTATTTTTTTTTTCAGTGTAATTGCATTAACATTAGGACCAAAACAGGGACTTAGATATAGACAGCAGATGTTAAAGCGATAAGCAACTTTAACACAATACAGACAAAAAAATTAAACAAAATCAAGTTATAAACAAAATAAAAAGTTATAAGAAAAAAGTTAAAAATATTGATAATTTACCAAGATCAATTCAAGAACTAGAAGGAGGGGCGCCGGGGTGGCTCAGTCGGTTACGTGTCTGCCTTCAGCTCAGGTCATGATCTCAGGGTCTGGAGTCCGGGTCTGGCATCAGGCTCCCTGCTCCGTGGCGAGCCTGCTTCTCCTTCTCCCTCTGCCTGCCACTCCCGCTGCTTGTGTGTGTGCCCTCTCTCCGTGTCAAATAAATAGATAAAAGTCTTAAAAAAAAATAAACTAGAAGGATAACAGTATAACCACGAAAGAATTAAAAAAAAAAAAATAGGAAACACTCCTCAATTTGTTCAGTAAGGCTAGTATAAACTTGTTTCCAAAACCAGAGGAAGCATTTGTGAGAAAGGAATTATACAGGTCAATTCATTCATGAACAAAAATGCATAAATATTCCAAATAAAATGTTATCAAACCAGATCTAGCAATGCGCCAAAAAGGATTAAATTAGGTTTTCTCCCTCTAGAAAAACCAAGTGTGGATTAACATTAGGGGGAAAACTTCATGTAAATTTTCCACAATACCAGATAAAAGATGAAATTTACGTAACATTTAAATAAATGCAGCAGAATAATTTGAATTTGATACATAGCGACTTTCAATCATAATAGTAAACCAGGACAGATGAACAATTCCTCAACATAATGTTCTCTTCAGGTTAATTTCTAGCAGTCCTGGAATTAGCCTGAGCTGTTTTGCTCTAAAAGTTTCCATCTGGCACTAACCTCTGTTTGCAGTACCTGAAACATGCCTACTAATAATGTTGCTTTTGTAACCTTGGACCCAAGGAGTTTTATGGTGATTTTTACCAGCCTGTCAGCATTGTTTATCGGTAAGAGTGAGATTCATGATTTGCATCTGGTCTTCGTGAGAGGGGCCCCCTCAGAGGGAGCTCTGCTGTTGAGGGTGATTTTGTACCA